ATGTTTGTAACTAATAAACTCAAAAATTACTGGACCAATTTAGATGAAATTTAGTAAAAAGATAGTTTTAGACCTTGGGCAGGACACAGGATATTTTTTATTCCGGAAAATATCGCTCAAGGTGAAAATGTGGATAAAAGTTTGTATGGAGAATCAAGCTAGAGACGAACCCGAGAAAATGGCTACTATAGCTTCAAGTTTAGGCTCATTTGACTCGTTTTGTTAATCAAACTTGAAAACGATTTTAGTTTTTCCAAAAAGTTACATCAACTTCAAAATCACTGTATGTATTTTTTAAACTTACTTGGGACCACCCTTGCAGACTTAAAAAAAGAATTATAAAAATCAATTATTCGATTATATCGATATTACATTTTAGGAAGGAAGATGAGCCAAAAGAATCTTATTCCAAAATCTGTTGGGTCTATTTGGAAAATGAGAACCAAGAGATGAATAATAATTTATTTATAATAATATCATATGAATAATTAAATTTTACGCCTCACTTTATTAGTTATTTTTTTAAACAAAACTACTAACTAAATATAACTTTTTCACATTTTAATTATTTCCATCAGGCCAGTTGGACTCTCATGCTGGTTTCCTTTAATATATGGGTTCTAATGCTAGCTCGAGCATTTGTAGGTATAACTATGTCAGGATGTTATGTCATATGCCCAATATACACTAAAGAAATCAGTGACGCCAGTATACGAGGTGCTTTGGGATGTCTTGTAAGTATATCTTATATTATTAAATGAGCAATACTTGTTTATATAATACTAGCATTGCCCGCGGCTCCGCCCGCGTTCAGATGACCAAAAACCAAATTCTTAGATTTTACATATTAGTATACGCTCTTACGTTGCAGTTTTTGTATTTTTTCTCAGAAATGATACATTTTCCCGCGGTAAAAAGTATCCTATATGTTGACCCAGATAACCAGTTATCACCATACCAAATTTTATCAAGGTCCCTCCAGTGGTTTTTGTGTGATGCGGTAACAAACGGACAGACAAAAATTCTAAAAAATATAGATTCGGCCTCTGTATCGATAATAATGTTTATTTCAATAAGATTTTCGAAAAATTATCTAATGTACAGATTCGGCTTCGTTACAATTTTATTATATGTATAGATGTGGGTATATAAATTTATTTCGTGTATCTTGGAAAGGGATCTAACGATTTGGTTCAAATTTTGTATAACACGTTTAACACGTTTTATAGTATTTAGATAATTTTTTTTTTCGTTAAACACGTTTTAAAATATTTAAATGACATTCATTGCTTTAGGAGTATAAACCACTTGACGTCAATGTACGAGTACCTACATATGTATCTATGTAGTTTCAGTAAGAAACTTTTCGGGCTTTTCGTCTAGTTTGATCATAAGTTACTCAATCTACCCGACAGATTTCAATAGGACAATTTTCGTTGTGTATAAAATTAGACGGATTAAAATAGACATTAAGTATACGGGTAAAATATTAAATTGGACATTCGAATCTTAGGGATAGCCATATGATTCATTATGGAGTCATGATTTTGAAATTACAAGTTTCAGATAATCTATACATATAATAAAAGTGTGACTGATCGCTGTCTGTACATGGTAGGTATTTAAGAAAAACTATTATTGGGGGTGTTTACTAACGCAATATAACCCAAAACATAGATTTTTAGAATTGTTATCTGTTTGTCTGTGTGTTTGTACGCGCTTATCTCAGAAACTGCCAAACCGATTTAAGTGAGGTTTTCATTATTTATTGTGATACGCTTCACTTATTATTTAGTATTTGTTTTATTTCAATCGGTTGATAAATGAAAAAGTTATGTCCATTTAAATAATCACCTTGAGAGTCGCTTGTTAATTTATAAGTTTATGTGGTGTTTTTGTATTTTTGTCATGCATATTAAGACCTTATTTAGTAGGTTGTAATATATCTTTATGTTTTCAGGTTACTTTATTTCATACGTTAGGAAACCTGTTCCTCTACGTTTTAGGAGATCTTCTAAGTTATAATGAAATTCTTTGGATTTGTCTAACTATACCTATCATTCATTTGATGTTATTCGTTTTCATGCCAGATTCGCCCTCATATCTCGTGAAAACAGGAGAAATCGAGGTAATTTGACCAAATTATTACATTCTAATGTTCACCCAGTGATATATTATTATCATATTATATATCATAGTATTTGAATTCGGTGATAATATTTTTTTTATTGATAAACCTAATGCTTGTCAATAGCTACCAAACAAAAAAAAGAAAAGAAAATCGTTTCACAAATGATGGAGGAAAAGGTAGTGAACTGGTTTGTCTCTTATTAATATATAGAATATGCAATTAAATCTTTCTGTCTGTATGTTACGCAATATTTTTGTCAATAATTATGAACCTATTTTCATTTTAAAGGTGGTATTACAATTATTATAGCACATACCTAATTCGCACTTGATAATATCAGAGGTGCGAGACCCGGGATTTGAACCGGGCCTCCTCGATTTCCTAAGCAGATTTTTACATTGGGCTACCACAGCCTTAACATGATTACCATTTGCCTTACGGTAAAGGAAAACATCTTCAGGAAACCTTTTTTTTAACATTGGGAAATGCATTTAAGCAAGAGGTGTGGGAATCACGGACAAAACCAGTACTACCCACTAAAACCCAACGGAATTACTCCCGTCTTGATGGGGCGTCACAGGATCGCTTACGCACTCAACCACGACGCCCCAACGGCACGCCTGGCGAAGCAGACCACAACAGCCATGGGGTTGCTCCAACAGTCCACTCTGCCGACAGAGAAGTACTAGGAGCAACCCGCATGGTACACCGCCCACCGAAGTGAGCCATTGCCCTGTGCGTTTCTTGGCTTCGCACCCAGCTACATTGCCAGGCACTACATCATCAGGAAACCTGCCTGAACCTGAAATTAATTATTTATCTTTCTACGGTACTCATTTTATTGACGGCACAACTATGAGAAACAATGACAACTGAACACGTAGAATCGAAAATATACCATATCTCAAAAACTACTCAACTTATACTCTTTCAAAAAAAATTCAGTAAAAGTTTTTGTGAGAGACAGAAAGAGAAATTATAAGTTTTTTGCTTAAATCTTGGGTGCAGAACCATAATAAGCACATTCGATGATATTATAGTAATATCATAGAGTGTGCTTTTTATATGTTAAGGTAAACTCGTACATCTGCTATTAATTAATTTTCAGGCGGCAACTAAAGCGATAACTTGGCTTCGATGCAAATCTGAGTCCGACAGCGAAGTTCAAGATGAATTAAATGTTATTAGGAATGAACATAAGCTAGACGATGAAGGCAATGAATTCTTCCTCAAAACTATATGTAAGTGCGTACATAGACTCTAATGTACTTTCACAGATTTATAATTTAACTAGCATTATCCGCGACTTAACCCGCGTTCAAACGACCAAAAACTAAATTTTTAGGTTTTACATATTAGCTTGTACCAGTTTCATTGCGCAACGCAAGATTAGAATGGATATATCAATAAAATACTGTTTCCAAAATCAGTCGGACACATCCATACGAGTATGTACATAAAACATAATAATTCTGTGGTCTCTATCTAATAACTGCGAGAAATAAATTTGACTAAACTCTGAAACAAAATATACTTTATTGTCCAAAAATATCTATAGCCTATGGGCCTAACTAAGACTTAATAAATAAAGCGCTAGGTCAATATTCATCTATCATTTAACTAGAACCAGCCACATTATAATAACAAAAAATATATTTATCTATTTCATTTTAAAGACTTATTCAATGCAATTAGTAGGTAATAACATGTTTTTGTATACTTAAATTATGTTCTTACCCCTCAGTTACATTTATAGTGTCTTCTGTCTTCTGAGTTTTTTTTTTGTTGGGGCATTAACACATAGCACCATCTAGTTCCATGGTAAGCTACGAGGCTTGTATTATGGATACCAGATAGTTGATACACTACACACATATGTAACTTTAAATACATACATATTATAAATAAATATAAACACCCATGACTGGAGTACAAACATTCGTGCTCATCACACAAATGAATGCCCCCAGCGGGACTCAAACCCGCGACCGCTAGCACAGCAAGTAACGTCACTTCATACTGAGCCAAACGTGTCGTCAAATTTTTTAAGTTTATTAATTTTTTTAATTTAAGTTTCATTCGCCAGTTCTTTTCAGGTATGAGGTTTTTTCTCAACTGGTAATAGTCAGTTCTCATTGACGTTCAGTAAAATTTGTAATTATATATTGCTGAGTAAAATAGTATAAATTTGAATTGAATTATTATGAAAAATCGTAATCGTCGTCGTATCAACAAAATAACTAAAAGATTCATTCGAAATGTTATAATCACTTTATAATTTCAGTTACTGACAAAATCCTGTTCAAGGCATTTCATATTGCAATTATCACAACATTGGCGAGAGAGGTGTGTGGATCCATACCAGTTCTGAACTTTGCTGGGGAAATCTTCACTTTAGCATCCGTTGATGGGAATCTAATGCTGAGTCCTAATCAAAAAGCTATGTTCCTGGGTGGGGTTCAGGTTGTAGGGTCAATTATTGTTTCAAGCGTCGTAGAAAAATGTGGAAGGAAGGTAGGTTTGCAAAATCAATGCAAATTTTATAAAAAATGTGCTATTCTATATAAAAAATGAATGTTTGTATGTTTGTCTTTTACGCGTTTCTGAGCCATTGATCCGATTGTGATGAAACTCTGGTAGATTATTCTAAATACCCCTGCGAAGCTTCCTTCCTATTCACGCCTAGCGGTGCACCGGGATGATATAAATCGAATATATTAACATGCTTTTTTAAGTTAGTAGTAGAGGCTCACCCTTGCTTCGCTCGGGTTCGTCCCTAGCTTGCTTCCCGCTACAAACTTTCATCCGCATTTTCACGCTCTTAAGTGATGATTTCCGGGATAAAAAGAATCCTATGTCCTTCCCAGGGACTCAAACTATCTTCTCACCAAATTTCATCTAAATCAGTTCAGTAGATCCAGAGATTACCCCCTATGACGTCACAAACTCACAAATTTTACCTCTTTATAGTATTTAGTTAGTATAAACAATTAATTTATAAAAACTTTTAAAAATAAAATAAAAAACGACTTCCAGGCACTAAAATGTAAAAAATAACTAAACGGAGGCTTTCATTTAGCATAGATACTTAATCAGATATTTTCGAAATCGGTGCCAGCTCTGCTGCCGTGTATGCTAGCAAGTAAAGTCTACACCAACGAAGCAGTAGAAAAGTGGGCTACCTCTTTAACTAGCGTGCCATTTGCAAATTAATTTTACTCATGACAGGACATGAAGTCCTTATACTTCTTGGTTAAATAAATATAAATGAATTAATAAAATAAATAAATAAATATGTTGGGGCATTAATACACAGTACCATCTAGTTCCATGGTAAGCTACGAGGCTTGTGTTATGGATACCAGATAGTTGATACACTACACACATATGTAACTTTAAATACATACATATTATAAATATAAACACACGTGACTGGAGTACAACCATTCGTCCTTATCGCACAAATTAATGCCCCCAGCGGGATTCGAACCTGCAACCGCTGGCGCAGCAAGTAACGTCACTACAAACTGAGCCAAACGTGTCGTCAAATAGACATAGACACTTATTAATAGTAATAAACTATCTTTATTTTTACAGCCTCTCCTCTTTATATCATCCTTAATCTCTGGGCTGAGTATGTGCATATTGGCTTCGTGGTTTTTGTTGCGTTCTTATGAAATTTTTGCGCCATCGTGGATACCATTGTTCACATTATGCCTTTGCATTTTCTGCGATTCTTCAGGTCTTCAGCCCATGTCTATAGTGTTAGTAGGCGAAATATTCTCTTTTAAGGTAATTTCTATAAATATTAATAAGTAGTTTTAATTGTTAGAAAATTTTAATAAGCATTATTGCGTCGTTTTTACTAGAAATATTACTAAATTGTTCTATTTCACTAAAATGTTGCATTATTGATACTTTTTTATTTTTCCACTGTTAATTTATGTTAATAATGTTAACTTCTACTTAGCTATAAAATATCATTCCTACAATTTTTTGTACTAATCTACACATATAAATTAAATGGAAGTGTCCGTTTGTAAAGTGCCTAGCCTTTACTAAAGCCTTTTAACTTAGCCTTTACTAAATGCATATTAAATTACGATACTTATAAGAAAAACACATTTTTTTTTTATTATTTTGGCCTGTTATTCTGTTTGTTCCGTCTAATCTCCTAAACGGCTGGACTGATTTCGACAGGACCTTCACTGGCAGAGCTGAGCTGTTATAAGGAGTAACTTATATTAACAATGGGCTATATTTATTTTAGAAAAAGTATTAGGGTTCCGCTCAAAAAAATTAAAACACACCTAGGCACCCGAGCAAAACGAGGTCACAAGTTTATGCAATATATTAATAATTTTATATAACATTTGTTTTTCAGTATCGAGGGACAGTGTTGGCGGTGGCTATGTGTGCTGCTACACTGTCTGACTTCCTTCAGCTATTATTTTTCAAACCATTAGCCAAATCTGTTGGTATACACGTAGCGTTTTACTTCTTCGGATCAATTTGTCTTTTATTGGCTTTATATGTTATAATTGTAATACCAGAGACAAGAGCTAGAAGCCTAGAAGATATCTACAAAGATTTAGGCCAGAAGGATCGAGTTGAGATTAGAGAAAAAGAGAGTACAAGCTTTTAAAATTAATAATAATAAGAGTTTATTATTGTACACAAAGAAAATAAAAATAAATCAATATAGAAAAGCATCGATCAAAAATGTACTAGATACACAATCCAATGCAAAAATTCTCTTTAAACTGTCACCAATTGTGTTTAGATAATTATTCCAATTGAAATAAATATACAACAATGTAAATTGAACCTTAAATGCGATGCTTAAAGTGGTTTTCACATTTTTTTTAAATTAAAAGCGCGCTCGAATGTTCAAATAAGCGCTCATTCGGTGAGGATATTTTTTGTCGCTGATTGTGGTAGTATTTTTTGGTCGGTATGTCTTAAAGGAAGAACCAACCATCCAAAATTTCTGGTTAAAGATTTTATATTTACCTCAAATGTGTAAGAGGAAATCGAACATTAACATATAATCTTTTTAACTTCTATCTATACATATCATAAATTTGTAACTAAGCCGAATCTGTACATTAAATATTTTTTGGAAAATCTTATTGAAATACACATTATTGTCGATACAGAGGCCGAATCTATAGTTTTTAGAATTTTTGTCTGTCTGTCTGTTACCGCATCACAGAAAAACCACTGCGTGGATTTTGATGAAATTTGGTATGGTGAAAGCTGGTTATCCGGGTCAACATATAGGACTTTTTACCCTGGGAAAATATCTCATTTCTGAGAAAAAATACAAAAAGTGCATGGTAAGAGTATATGAGTATATACATATTAGTAAAACCTAAGAATTTGGTTTTTGGTCATGTGAACGTGGGCGGAGCCGCAAGCAATGCTAGTCTTTTATAATCTTCTGAACTAAGATTAATTCTTCTTTTAAGAACTCCGTTATACATTCTTATTCATAAGTCCTGTGTTTTAGACATAAAATCACGTACATATTATGTATGTCTCAAAAGAGAGAATACTTAAAATTACTTTCTTTGTGTATCATATTATGGTATTTAATAATGTATTTTTAAATATGAGCGTACCTAATATTATATAATAAGAAATTCATTTGCATTGAAATTATATTATTAGCTTGATTCTCCATACAAACTTTCATTCCCATTTTCACCTCTTTAAGGATGATTTCCGGGATAGAAAGTATCTTATGTCCTTTTCAGGGTCTCAAACTATCTTCTTACCAAATTTCATCTAAATCGGTTCAGTAGATCCAGAGATTACCCCCTACAACGTCACAAACTCACAAACTACCTCTTTATAATATTAGCGACTCCCAGCTTTCCGAAAGACGTGTGAACTCCTTCAACACGCACTTGGCCAGTATAGTGGACTATGGCCAGATCTGATCTCCCCTGTAATGGAATTAAAGAGAAGCCGGTACCCATCAGTGGGGCTTCAAAAAAGGACTGAATACATATTACGTATTAATTGAAATATATTTGACCGACTTGAAAAGAAGGTCTCTCGATAATTGACCCAGTTGTATTTTTTTGTGTATGTTATTTAACTGAATTTGTTATTATTATATTTTGAAATACATTTTTAAAAGAAAATTTTGTGTTTTTCAATCTACATAAAATATTCATTCTATTTTAAATATTATAGACTGACTATAGAAAATCTATATAATTTATGATAAAATAGCGACTTACTCTCGCTTCGCTCGGGTGCGTCCCCGGGTACGTTTTAATTATTTTTTTAAATAAATATCCTCAAAAACAGCTTCGATTTTAATATTTTTTTTAATTTCTTTGTTTTATTTTATATACCTGCTTTAAAATCAGAAACCTTTTGAAGCGGGGACATAATTATTTATATTGTTTAAACAATATGAATAATAATATTTATTAAAAAGAAAAACAGTTTTTAACATCATCATCATCATCATCATGTTCAGCCGGTTTTCGTCCACTGCTGGACATAGGCCTCTCCTATGGCACGCCACTGAGCTCGATCTTCAGCTCTAGCTTTTAACAATACATACTTATTATACAACTACATCGGGTCGCGTACGAGTCAATATTGGCTCCGTGTATTTAGAAGTATAAAAAATGTTAAAAGTGTTTACATAGTGTTATAAACAGTGTAAAAACAATGGAAAGTTGGTGGGTGCAGTAAACTGATAAAAACGCTTATGGAATTAATATTTTAACTATAAGATGAATCTAAGAAATTGTGTCGAGTGATTTATACGGATGTGGAATGTACAGTACTATTTTACGTGTTAATATAATTAATTTAAATCACTTATGAACCAAACCGAAGTCGTTAACCTAACACTGCAATCTAAAACCCGATATAAATACTAAAACTCAAAATAGTGCTTTTCGTTCGTTAGTTACATACACTTAACAGTTACAATTTCAAATTCCTAACATCCATAATTTAAAAATATAAGATAAACTACTAATTTCATATTAATAACCGTCTACCCTACACCAGCCTGCAAATTTATGATATTCGCAATGAAAAAAATACTAATCGATAGATTTTTAATAGCTCAATTCAACTACGTAGCCCTTCCAAATTGCTCGCCATTAATTATAAAATTAAAAATCAATAAAGTCCTTGAAAAAAAATTCATATATCCGTATATTCAAATTTCTATATCTTTTGATATATACAATATTTTAAATTGCTCAAAGTTCTAAAATACTGCTCAAGTTGCATTTGTAATTGCTCAAGTAGAGTTCTCACCAGCTCCACTTTCCTTAATTATTAAATAAATATAAATAGTTTGAATAAATTTAACGTATAGATAGGTGAGTGCTGCGCACGCGCGCAAACAGTAACGCGAGTCGCAAGGCAAAAAAATCAAGTGTTTCATAACCTCATCATAGTGAAATGAAACTGTAATACTCCAAGCACAACATCATCTATTATCAGGTATTTTTATTATTTATTGACTTATTCATTATGTTCAATTTATACAAAAATCAAATCATGACTAAAAGGTAACTTTATTTTGTAACTTTATGTCTGTTTACAAAGTATTTTCTATATATTCTTCTTTGCTCCAAAACAAAATAAGTAGTAGTAGTAAAAATATCCAGCAAACATAATGAGCATGTATATGATATATATACATAATGAGCAATTACAAATGCAAATTGAGCAGTATTTTAGAACTTTGAGCAATTTAAAATATTGTATATATCAAAAGATATAGAAATTTGAATATACGGATAAATGAATTTTTTTTCAAGGACTTTATTGATTTTTAATTTTATAATTAATGGTGAGCAATTTGGAAGGGCTACGTAGTTGAATTGAGCTATTAAAAATCTATCGATTAGTATTTTTTTCATTGCGAATATCATAAATTTGCAGGCTGGGGTAGGGTAGGTTTAATAACCGTACTGCATTTAAATAGAACACCTGATTGGACAATTGTAAATATAACTAACATATGACAGTTAGTAGTGCCAACGTTTAATAGTTACAGTGTCCATAGACAATATAAACGTTCGGATACACTTTACGGAATAATCAAGCGGGTCTACATTTATGAAATTTTTAACAACATGGCTTCTCACTCACAAAGCCAATTTCCGCAAAACCATTAGCAACAAATTCTTAAATAAATGCATTGATAGTCTTAAATAATGTTATAATTGCTAAATTAATGTAACTGTGTATCTGCTCATTGATTAATAAAAAAAAAAACTATTTACTTCTAAAATATATCTATTTTGTATAATATTTTAAGAAACTTTATTTTTGTGCATGCTGTGTTTATTTGTAAGTAATCACTACATTTAGTTCCTAATTTTTAGTTGTATTTTTTTTTTATATTGTGTGTATTATTGTAAGTGATTGTAAATAAACCTAATAAATAAATAAATAAATAAATTTATATACAAAAGTATTTTTGAATTTTTTTAACTGTCGATTATTTATTATTTTTAAGTAACAGACAATTATTAGAATAAAAAAAAATAATTACAAACTCTTCATCGATACTTTTAGGGAATAATAGAATTAAACAATTTAAATGTTTTTTAAGACAATAGAATATATGTTTTAATTTGAAATCTAAACAATGAACAATTGTGAATTCAACCCCCGATTTATTTTATTTATTTATTTACTAAGAACATCATTTTCGCATATAACTAAAATGTACATCAAAATTAGAAATAATACATTAAATATGTAAATTTTCTGATTTATTTATGTATACAAAAAAGAAAAATTAATTTTCATCATCATTTTGCGTATTGAAAGACTTGTTAGTTTCTACGTGTACGCCCTTGTCCTTTGAAGCTTGTATCTAAGTTCCTTCAAATTTTTGGTACTTTTGGGACCATACATTGTGAAATTGCAATTCATCTTCTTCATTAAAAAGTATTTCTTTAGTTTATGTGGTTTGGATAGTTTCAGCTTATTAAAATTGAAGTTATTAAAATATTTAATTTAAAAAAATCCCTTTATTGTAAAGAACAGATCTAGTTTTACATCCTGTGAATGCATGAATTATGATTTTCTGTACTATTTGGATATTTCATATACATTCGTCTTTGTCGAATAAATAATTAAATATGTTGGGACATTAATACACAGCACCATCTAGTTCAGTTACAGGCAGTGGTAGCCCAGTGGTAACGCGCTTGCTTGGGAAACCGAGTGAAGCGGGTTCAAGTCCCGGGTCTCGCACCTCTGATATTTTCATGTGCGAATTATTTCTAACATGATTACCGCTTGCCTTACGGTGAAGGAAAAACATCGTGAGGAAACCTGCATGTCTGAGAGCAAGTTTTCGAAAGACATGTGAAGTCCGCCAACCCGCACTTGGCCAGCGTGGTGGACTATGGCCTGATCCCCCTCATATCGAAGGGAGGTCCGTGCCCAGCAGTGGGACGTTAACAAGGGCTGAATACATACATACATACATACCATCTAGTTCCATGGTAAGCTACGAGGCCTGTGTTATGGATACCACATAGTTGGTACACTACACATATATAACTTTAAATACATACATATTATAAATATAAACACCCAAGACTGGAGTAGGTACAAACATTCGTCCTCATCATACAAAATGAATGCTCCCAGCGGGACTCGCACCTTCGACCGCCGCACAGCAAGTAGGATCACTACAAACTGAGCCAAACGTGTCGTCGTCGTTTCTTATACATAAATTGTTAAGACGATTTTCTAATTAATAGACATGGTTATTACCATTACAAGCTTAGTCACCATGACAATATTAAGTAAATTTTTATTTCGCCAATTCGTTAATATCGCAATATAGGGTGTAGAAATAATAAATAAAATCTATACATATAATAAAACTGTAGACGTCGAATGTATAGACAGAAAAAAATACTAAAAACCGAGTCACGTAGATATAGATGCAATGCAAGATCTTCTGGAACGTGTAGGGATTTGTAGAAAGTTAAAACGAGAACGAAGGTAAGGAGGGAAACTTTGATGTTTAAGGATATTATAAAGGAACTAGCAATGCCCGCGGCCTCGCCCGCGTTCAGATGACCAAAAACCAAATAAAATAGAGCTATTGTTATTTTTTTTCGAGATAAGCTATTTTTAATAGTTTTTGCCTTATTTAGTATGTTACCTTGCGTAAATATATATAGTATCATCGTAGTTTTATTCTAACCAGTTTTTGTATTTTTTCTTAGAAGTGAGATATTTTCCTGCGGTAAAAAGTATCCTATATGTTGACCCGGATAACCAACTATGACCATACTAAATTTCATCAAAATCCCTCCAGTAGTTTTGCTGTGATGCGGTAACAGACAGACAGAAAGACAGACAGACAGACAAAAATTCTAAAAACTATAGATTCGGACTCTGTATCGATAATAATGTCTATTTATTTTAAGATTTTCCAAAAAATATTTACTGTACAGATTCGGCTTAGTTAGAATTTTATTATAATACATGATAGGATGTGCAATGTGTATATTACGGCGAAGTCGGATGGCGAGCAATTATTATAAGAAATTTCGAATAACCTACTGAAGTGTTAATTTTATATGGTAAGTATAATCATCCGCTTATTTACTTAATTTAGTGGTTCTCAAGCTTTATAACGCAATCATTTAATTATAATAAACAGCAATATCTCATCAAATACAGTAAAGTTGTTACACAAGACATTGTAAAAGGCATAGAAAACAAAAAAAAACTGTAATTATAAGGAGTGTCCTAAAACAATATAACTCAAAAAGTTTATTCTAAAAATCATTTAAGACTTAAAGTTCAGGTACTTCATGTTCATGCAAAGTCAAAATATGTTAATATGTTAAGCATTATATTATACATAAAATTTCTAATTCGATTACTATTAGTATTTTAATTTTTCCTTGTACCTTTCCCGAAGCCATGGGCTTGAAAGGGCCCAGTCCTATAAGTCTTGCGTGGGGACATAGGTCCAATACCTAGAGGCCTCTAGATTTAAATTAGTTTATCGTAAAGTATCAGCCGGTATCCATTTCCAAGTAAACATAACACGTAGAGAGGATGGAAAATGGTACCCAAATCGGTTAAGGCGTTGCTGAGATTAGCGCGCACAAGCGAAAAGACAAACAGATAAAAATACTAAAAATCATTGTTTTGGGTTATATTGCGTTAATAAAGACCTCCAATAATAATCTTTCATATACAGACAATGATCAGTTACACTTTTATTGTATGTATAGATTACTATTCCTTATATTGCTTGTTATTATAACGAAAATATTACCTTTATCGTTTAAACTGGCTACATTATGTATGTCAAAGATTGGAACACAAGTAACTAAATGTAGTTAGCGTAATAAAATATGATTTCTTTATATATTTAACTCTACACTCTAGAGAAGCACAAACAGATCTATCCCACGGGAACCGTTCAATTTTCCGGGATAAAAGGTAACCTGTCGTTTGACTGGCAATATAAGGTATCATGCCTTTAACTAAATAAGTGCATAAGTTGTTGTATACTAAGCTGTATAAGTTACAATATTTTTTTTACTATTCCACGGGAACTCTTTAATTTTCCGGGATAACAAGTATCTAAGATGTTGACTGGGGATATAAGGTTCACCATTCAAAATTTCATTTAAATCAGTCCAACGGTCTCGGAGATTAGCCCGTACAAACAGACAAATAGACCGAGAAACAAAAAAATTGGATTTGTTTTATTTCTCTTCTTACATCCCTCTGACTCGGTTTTTAGCATTTTTTTTCTATGTACAGACATTCAACCTCTACAGTTTTATTATATGTATAGATGAGACCTCATATCGCGATAAATCACAATAAATAATTATAAATGAATGCTTTTATAAAATTAAGGAGTACACATTCTAATTTCATGATACTTGCACTGGTACTGGCGAGTACTTAAACACCAAAGAGAAAAAGAGAAGTTGGAAGGAAAGGCAAGAAAGAAGAAGTAAGAAACACAGGCGGAAGTACGTGAGTACTATCTAATGTAAGCTTCGAATAAAAGTCAAATTAATTTACAGCTTATATGATATATTTTTTTACTTTCATCTAATTCGCTGTGTTCATAATCCCTTTATGACCGTGATATTGCTCGTATTTTCTTAACGTTGTTTCAAATGTAAAGATTACACTTTACGCGCAACACGTGCGAAGCAACTAATTGTTTTTGCGCACAATATTAAATAATCATGACAATTCTATATCAAGTTTTATCCACCGGCGTCGGTAAGTATTTATTTACTGGAATCTAGATATTTTGTCTCGCGGCTGTGATTTTTTATACATGTACGGTATCCAGGGCCGGATTTATAAGTGCACGGTCCCCTGGGCAGTTAAGGAGTGGAAATCTCTGGTTTATTGCAAAAAAATTAAGGATGGTGTTTTTGCTTCCGTTTTTTTTGTTTGACAAAATTTATGAAACTAAAAAATGGGTTCAGTAATTTCTTCTTAAAAATTGGGAGCAACATTTCTCCATAAATTCAGCCCTGACTTCATGAGTCCATGCATCTAAAATAAATCTTCTCAACTAATAAAATTCTTGCCGTACTTCGCCTTAATTTATAACATTTTTCTATCAAATCCGTTCAGCCCTTTTCAATTAATCGTCTGTGCATCTACCATTAGAAACTCTAGCACAAATATGTAGTTGCAGTTAAACATCGCTTAATGATGAATGGCCATCATTTAGGAATTCACAATCAAATCAAAAACAAATATAATTGTGAATGTTTTATTTGACAGTGTATCTGTTACTTTTCGCTAAACAGCTGAACGAATTTGGACGTTTAGTACACAAATAAACTATAATCTAGAGTAATGTTACTCCAGACTACAGCCAGGTAGCAGGTACCTAAGAAGAAGAAGAACAAGTAAGAGAATCTAGTAAGAAATGAGCTTCAAGCAGAACCCTATGATATATGTGCAATAAAACAATTCGTCTAAAACGATTGAATCTTTACATTATATTTATACCAAATAAATCTGTTACAGTCAGTTTCATCTGTATGACGATGGGTGTAATGTACACTTGGCCATCTTCTACCCTGAATCTCTTTAGTTCTGCAAACACAACACTTGATAGGGTGATGACGGAAAATGAAATATCGTTATTGGGCAGCATATCCTCTATAAGTGCGATTATTATCACTCCATTCTGTGGTTATCTGTTGGACACTTTGGGACGGAAACGCTCATGTATTCTTTTCTATATGGCACAAGTTGTAAGTGTTTTATTATAATATATTATATAGAAGCACGTAAATATTTATTTTTACTCGTTATTACTTACCGTGATAAGAGCAATCTTTAGATTACTCAACTCATTTAAATGACTTAAGGCATATGCACACCTCGTAAATAAACGACGATGAGGCGAATTACGTTGGTACGTCGCATGCTCATATTCTGTGCTAATAACTTTTAAAATTTCAGACTGCTTGCGTTCTTACCTATAGATACAAACGAGGGAGAAAATCTTTCACCATGCGTTGAAAAACATATAAAAAGTCGTCGTGTGCTTATGATAAATTTATATATTTATGTTACAGAGACCGAATGTATAATTTTTGTTTGTTTGTCTGTCTGGGAACGTATCACGAGAAAACCATAAAACAGATTTTGATGAAATTTGATATGATGATAGCTGATTATTCGGGTGAACATATAGGATACTTTTTACTACGGGAAAGTATCTCATCTCTGAGAAATCTATACTAAACGTTAAAACGTAACTAGGGACGAACCCGAGCCAAGCAAGGGTGAGTCGTGAGTAAATTTTTATTTTTTTCAGGCATGCTGGGTAATTATAGTAATGTGCAATAAAGTAGAGGCGGTGTTATTTGCCATGTTTCTGTCTGGACTGACGGGTTGTATGATGCTGATAGTTCCTGTATACGTTAGCGAGTTCTGCCAAGAATCTATACGAGGGTCCATGACGTCTGGCTCAATGATTTTTTATGGTATTGGGATGCTAGTATCTTATCTCCTCGGAGGACTCTTAGAGTATAAGATGATGAACTACGTTTCATTAACTTTGACTATCATTGGCTTGACGCTGCTGTGCTTTATGAAGGATTCTCCTATGTTTTTGGTCAAATCTGGTCAGCTAAAGGTGAATATAATCATATTTAAAACACCTATGAGAATAATAAGCTTTTCCTTAAGTCGTATATATATTATCAATGCATGCTACTATCAACTAGCCTAACAGTAACACTGTAACAGTCTTCAATTCCTTTAGACTTAAAGTTAATATGGCATTAAAATTTTATTGGTATAATTATCTTATGAGCAATTCTTGTATATAGATAAACTTATTTCGTGTATCTCGGAAACAGCACCAACGATAGGGATCAAATTATGTATTTGGATAAGGTTTAGTTTATCTATATACTTAGGTAGGTATCTACCTCAATATATAGATAAACTTAAAAAAGCAAAATTTCTGAAAAAAAAACACAATATTTATGTTTTCCGAAAAAGGCACAGAAAAACTCGGTCGTGTAGGTACACTATCTACTCTACACATATAATAAAGTTTGTGATCACTGTCTGTACATGGAAGATATTAGAGAAAATATTTATTTTTTAACTGTTTGACTGTGCATTTGTGTACGCTAATCTCAAAAACGGCGCAATCGATTTGGGTGCGGTTTTCACTATTCTCATCTTCAATAAATTCATTTACTGAGTATAAAGCATAAGCAACTCAAGTTACTTATATATACTATAACTTGGGAAAAAACATAGTTACTATAAGTATAAAACTTATAGCATATTATAATAATACAATGCTTTTTTCTTTTCTTCTTTTGTTCCTCTTTTATAGAAAGCTGCACAATCAATAGCATTTTACAGAGGTCTTAAAATAGATTCTAAAGAACTGAGAAGAGAAATGGAAAATATCAAAAATTTACTTAACGAAGAACCAAATTGTAATGGTAATATTTATTAAATTTAACAATTAATGTACCTAAAGAATGTATGTCTACAATTGAAATCGCAAGAGAAAAGATTAATAAACAAGCAGTAGGTACCCACAGCTTCATCCGAGTCCAAACTGGGCTGTGGTGGCCTAATCTATAGATGTATTTTGTAAAATGTATTGTGTAAAATGTGAAACTATATATGTATTTTGAGAGTAGAACTAATGTTACCTACGACTTAATATTAGGTTTGTGTATAGATTATGTTTATCTTACTACTCTAACGTACTGTTTGGATGGATATTTTTGTTACTCAATCACGCCAGAACGGCTTTGCGGATCTGGATGAAATTTGACATATAGGTAAATAATAGTCTGGAATAGCACATAGGCTTAGACTTTTTATTCCGGAAAAATGTACGGTTCCCGTGGAACAGGTTTGTTTTAGTGTTTCTCATTTTTGATAGGTTTTATAAACGATATGGATTGAACTAAGTCAGTCTTGTTTCTATTAGAATGTTATTGTACTAGTTACCTAACTTTTTCAGAGATACCTCAAGAGGAAAAAGGCTTACACTCAGATGAAAATCCGAAACAGAAGATTTCCCAATGGAAATATTTGAGTACGTATGTTTACATGTACCTAATATTTTACGTATCTATATTGTATCCCATGGGATAGGGAAATCTTTTCCCACAAAAATGGAACTAAACTCCTTGCCTAAAATTGAGCAGTTTAATTAAGTGAATTGAATTGATCGTAAATATGTAACTCACATACGCCTAAGCATAATATCACAGTTTGGGTTTCGCAACAAAATTTTAAAACAAACTTCGTACTTACTCAAAGCTTTAAACTAAAAAGTTTTAAAGTTAAACTCTGACCGCCTTTTTAATGGGAGAGATTAACAATTTGGCTTATTTTTTTTGGATTCTTTCAATGATATATATTTTTGTTATTTATTATTATTGATCCAGCAGGGTAAATTTTAAGATGAAAATATAATTTAATTTGAAACAAAATACATAAATTGATAATTTTTTGAGTTGTTTAATTGTAAAAAGTTTCGTCATTTACAGAAAAGTCTCGTTCAACTCAACGCGCATTAGTTGTATGTATAGTTCTCTACACTGCAAGTATATTTCAAGGATTAATTGTGGTGCAAGTCTTTGCGGTGCCTTTGTTTAAAGAAGCCGTTCCGACAATTTCAACAACTTTGTCAAGTGTCATATTCGCAATCGTATCAGTGATTTCTGGCTTTTTTGGGGCGTATTTCATCGACTGGTTTGGAAGACGAGTTAGTATATTAATATTTTCTTTTTCATGTATAGTTTGTAACTTACCTGGTTGAATTAAAAGCTTGTCTAAAACCAGTAAAAAAATTCTAATAATAATTGATATTTCAAATATATTACGCATTGTATAAAATGGCTAGGTATTCTATTGAATATTTGATTATACAATACATAAATCATACAATATTTCCAGCCCCTCATGATCTACGGATCTATTGCTACTGGTTTATCTTGCCTGGTGCTCGGACTGCAAATACAACTAAACTGGGGACCGACCTGGCTGACTGCAGTGCTTATAAACTTATATTGTGTCGCTTACACCTTCGGGGCGGGTACCGTACCGTATGTTATAGTCGCCGAAGTATTTATGCCAGAGGTATGTTATTTCAAAGCTTATGTTTCAAAGCCTATATATTATATACGATATTTATTATTTACTGATCACCTAACAATGACCCATGTATCATGAAAAAACGATTTCCATACGAGTATGAGCAAAAACTAGTTATTACTATAATTATAGTCTATAGATTTTTTGAATTTTTTATTATTTTTCAGATAAAAAGCTTAGCATCTATGGTTTCAACAGAATGGCTATTCTTCTGTGGTTTCGTCATTTTATACATTTTCAACCCACTCGTTAGTGCACTAGGTAAGTAATTAATATTAAATTTTATCACGTTAAGGTGTAAATGCAGTATCACAACACTATATTAAAAAGCTATAGGTATTAAAAATGCCCATTTTCGTGGTGACAACTATGAGTTAGTCAACTTTGGTTTATTATATTAGCTACCATAAAATTTTAAATATTTACTCGTTATAAAAAAATAAAGAGTTGCATTTATAATTAAATTGTTTCAAAACGATAATGCCTGTATGCTATATAGTTTATATATAAATAGTTAATATAAATAGGTAATTTGTTTTTGTGTGCTGGCAATGGTGTGTTTGTGCATAACACAAGAACAGGCCAAATGCCGCGCCATAAAGATAAATGACATTAAAAGTATAATAAGTATTTATTAATATATTAATTAATATTACTATTTCTTCCAAACAGCATATTATACTCAAAATACGTCATACACACTTATAAATTTGTTTTCAGGTCTCGGTCCAGTCTTTTATATATTTGCAGCGTTTTGCTTCTTCTCAGCAATATTTAGTCATTTCTTCTTGCCAGAAACTAAAGGGTTGCCAGTGAATGTGATACAACAGAGTTTCGTCCAAAAACGCTAGGTCGTTGTAAGTCTTATGTAGGTATGTTTAGTACAATTTACCTCAGGCGAAAAACATATAGCCGTTGTCCGTCATAGGTAGCCATAACTGTTAGACTTATAGGTAGGTACATACACTTCGCGACAAAAGTATAACCCACCCCCCTAATTTTGTAAAATCCAATGTTAGACTAATTTATCTTGATATATTATTATTGCACTAATATGTTTTATTTATTTGTAGTATTATAATATGTGTTTAATTACATTCTTAGTGGTTTTCTTATATTACGGCGTGATTGTTAGTTTGATAGTGTGACAAAAGTATAGCCCATAACTTCACTTCACTAAATTGTATTCTAAAAATTGGTTGAAAGTTAGAATTGCAAAATTTATCAATAGAAGTCATCGTGTTGTGCGTAATTTCCTAAAAGATCCTGAAAATTATGGCAAAATAAAGAGGTCTGCTCGACCAAGAGCAACAACACCACCTGAAAGAAGGTCAATTCTGAGAGTCGCTCCTAATTTTGCTCTTACACCAAGACAAGTTGCAGTGGAGGATGCTGTTAGCACTAATTTAAGAAATGTTAAAGGTATTATACATGGGTCTCGATACCTAAAACGTAAGAAATTACAAAGAAAACGTCTGATATCTGATAAACATAAATTAGACAGATTTAAATTTGCAAAAGATCATGTTCAATGATAGAAGAATTGGAAAAAAGTTATTTTCACTGATGAATAAAAGTTTAATTTAGATAAGCCTGATGGTTTTAATTACTATTTTCACGATTTAAGAAAATAAAAATGTGTATTGATTTGACGACAAGCCGGAGGTGGTAGTGTAATGATATGGTGTGGAATTGGTTACTTAGGAAAAATGAATATCAAGTTCTGTACTGGAAAATTGAATAGTAAACGGTTCATAAACATAATAAATGAAGAGATTATTTCTCATGTAATGCGAATTGCTGCATTGCAAGTCATTGTTTTAGGTCCTATTGCATTAATCATAGCTTTTCTCAAATATATTCCATGTACAGACAGTGATCGGTTACAATTTTATTATACGTATATTTATAAATAATGCAGAGAAATAATTTACATAAAATAAATATTTTTATTATACGAGTTGGATAAAAAATCATAAATATTTATTTTTTATAAATAAAAACCGAATTTAAAAAAAAACACTAAAAAGTAAAAAATTAGTGATTGGTAATTTTCATTTACTACAAATACCTAATCAGATATTTTCGAAGTCAGTTTGCAAAACGTTCTTAAACAATCATTTACTAATAGAATTTTATTTGGATATCTTCTTACATGAGATATAAAAATATTTATAATTATCGTGTGGTGATTACAATATTTTAGCTCATGTGTTTTCATCGAACAAAAGGTATTTTTTTGATCGATGTGTGTTTTAGGTACGCTAAAACACACATCGATAAAAAAAATACTTTCTACGCTTTGTTCTACAGTAGGTACATATTGAGTCTGTGGGACGAATAAGTTAATGTCATAGACAATGACTTGTAGTATATATAAATCTGTCAATGTCATTATTATATTTAAATTTTAATTGCTTTAATAGTCTGTGGTCACTGGTCATTACTCATTAGTCATTACTCAAATATAAATTATGAAACAAATAATAATAATAATTAAGTACCTACATCTATTATAGATATCTATTATATATATAGATATCTATTATATACATATATATCTATTATATATTATAGATATCTATTATATACATCTATTATATATATCAGCTATTAGCTGACAGCTGTAGATAATGGTAATAATAATGCCTAACGGACAAGACAAATAATAATAAAATGATAACGTTAAGGATTTTGCTTTAAAATTATTCAGTTAAGAGTAAATATCTTCTAGAAAGTACTTCGTAGTTCGTACTTCATTACTCACCTCTCAGTTTGTGATTATAGTGAACTTGATAAAACAGTGATAATGAATGAAATAAGATCATTTGTGTTTTTAGACATGGAAACCACCGGTATAACAGAACATGAGATACAGAAGACGAAAATAACTGAATTAAGTCTAATTGCTGTCGAAAGGAAACATCTAGTTGCTACTCGCAATGGATTAATGCCTCGTGTACAAAATAAAATCACTCTTTGTTTAAATCCTCAGAAACTGATTTTACCAGGTTGTTCTAAGGAAACTGGCCTATGCAATGATCTCTTAGAAAATGAATCGAACTTTAATATAAGTATATACACCATTTTAAACACCTTTGTAAATATACTTCCAGGGCCTGTCTGCTTGATAGCTCATAATGGGCTATATTATGATTTTCCTATATTAAAATCTCACCTAGAAAAGATAGGTGCTAAATTTTCTGTAGATCTTCTATGTTCAGACAGCCTTTATGCCTTTTATGAAATAATGGAAAATACAAAAATAAAATGGAACAATGAAATTATAGAAACAATTGATTTAGTTGATGATGATGAAGATGATATTCAAAGTCTAAATGAGAAAACACCAAAAAAATATCAAATTATTGAAAATAAAACTCCTAACAAACTAAATCCAAACACTCCATCTAGAATGCTACAAGGACGAATGTGGTTTAACAATAAACCAAAGGAGTCATATAAATTGAAGAATATCTATAAAAGACTGTTAGATCGAAGCCCTAGGGAAGCACATAGAGCTGAAAATGACTGCTTAATGATGCTCGAGTGCTCTGTAGCTCTATCCAAAGATTTTGTACAGTGGGTGGATAAAAATAATTGTAGGTTCTCTGATATAGAACCTATGTCTAAAGAACTAAGAAGTAAGTACCAAAGTTGTTTTTAGTTCGTAACAGTGCTCTTAATGGTTATGGTACAAATATTTTGTATACAAATTTACAATTAATTATAACAAAATTTGATATATTATTAGTTTGAATTAGGATAATGATATCACAAACATAATTCTTTTTTATATTTTTATAATATTTACTATGTAAGATGAATAATAAATATGTTATCCAATGCTAGAAGGAATGGTGCTAATAGATCTATAATAAGTATACTTAATATAGTAGTTATTATATATTATGTATACTTATTATAATATATACTAGTTATAATAAGTTATACATAAAAATATGCTATGAAACAATACAAGTTGCAATATTTATAATTAACCATTTATTTTTATAAATATAGTTTAGTTTTTATAATACTAGTAATATTATGATGCAATTTTTAATGTTGCATAAAGGCCTTTTGCTTATTTTAAGTTATTTATAATATAAGCAATATATATATAGATATTTATAAACTACATTTTTAAAAATTATGACTAGCAGCATAAATTTGTTGATGTGAATTTTAATGTTTGAAACCAAAGATGAAAATTATTTTAAATAAATAATTAATATTGAAATATATAATATTGTCTATTATGTATCATTGTTAACAAAATACCAATTTTTAATAAATATTTTTTTTTTACAAAAATCTTGGTGTTTTTGACTGTATTCAATCCTTTTTGAACATAGACCATAGTCCACCACGCTGGTCAAATGCGGATTGGCGGGCTGAGCATGTCTTTTCGAAACTTGCTAGGTTCTCTCAGACATGTAGGTTTCCTCACGATGTATTCCTTCACTGATTATATAAAATGATTCATACATGAAACATATATTAAATGATTCATACATGAAATAATCAATGGTGCGAAACCAGAGATTTGAACTTGCTTCACTCAGTTTCCTAAGTGAGCATGTTACCATTTTTTTTTATTTTTTATTTTATTGGGTGTGCTAGCTACGTCGACCAATGTTACCATTGCCTTTCTTTTATACTTATTTAAATAACCTATATAAGAATCTTTTAATTTTATTTCTTATTCAAAGGCTATTAGGGGAAATAAAATATTTACATGTAATAATAATTTATTTGAAAATAACATTTCTAACTACATTATAACTAAATGTACAACTATTTTCGAATATATTACTTGGATGGCTTTAAGTTCAGGAAAATCAAAATATATACAAATATTAATATATATATATATATATATATATATATATATATATATATATATATCAATATAATCGAGTTCATTAATTGGTTTTTAAAAACATATACTACATATAAAAATGAAAAGAGATATTTTATTGATGAGATTTTTTTCATTTTGTTCTCTAAAATAGCATAGACATATAGAGTGAACTGACTACTGAGTGTTTCTTTGCCAGCCGTCAGCTAAAAATGGCGGCAAAGCGACAGGGACAAAACGAATGTTTGGTCTCTGTATAAATGTATTTATAACCATTTTACACTCCATTTATAAATTCAAATTGGAATAAAAGAAGAGTATAGGCCGCACAGTCATTTTCTCTCTTTCTAGAGCTGTCAGTCCATACTCTACGCCAGCTATACTCAACCTGCGGCCCGCGGGCCGCATGCAGTAGCATCAGAAATCGCATTATAACATATCTTTGTTAAAAAAGTAACTACATCGTTAACTTGAAATTACGTTTTAAATAAAACTATCTTTTCGGATTTTGTCGCGGATTTATTTGGATTTTTGTTTCCCGACGTTTCGAATGCTTTACAGCATCCATGGTCACGGGAGAGACTGAGGTGTTACATGTCTTGAATGTATAGTTGTTACAGACAGCCTACCCACAATTAACAAAATGAAAATTGCACCAATTACATTACAATATTTTTTAACTTTAAACATTTTTATAATTTTAATTATAATTGAATATGGAAAATTATTTATTTAATTTTGCTATTATTTTTATAATTATTACAATTTTAAAATATTAATTAGTAATCTATATTTAGTGTTGCCATTATTATATTTATAACCATAAAGAAAAATATAAAATGAAGTATTAATTATTAAAGCCATATAATTGTTCTATGTGTAATTTAAAAAGTTAAAATTAATTAAGGATAATAATTTTAATTTATTTTGCTATTATTTAAAAACAACTTACTAAGCAACACTATTAATATATACTTTTACAAATGAAAAATGAAAAATATTAGTCTGATAAGCTGTCATTTTGATCTACACAGTATGAACTTACTACATCTGCCTGTCTGTTATGTTTATATTTATTATTTGATTTTATTATATTAATAACAGGATCCCATGACGATGGTAGTACCCAGCCATCTTCCCTATTGAAATTAGGATGTTTTTTAATTTCTATGGCTTCTCGAATCATTCTAGGGCGATATCGGTTTTCTTTCGCCAGAAACGTCGGGAAACAAAAATCCAAATAAATCCGCGACAAAATCCGAAAAGATAGTTTTATTTAAAATGTCAAATATTCGCGTAAATCTAAGAAAGTATTATGTGAACCAGTACGGACTGGAAATCGCAAACCAAATACGCCGGTTAGAAGATCTGAAGACAAAGCGCGCAAGATTATTAACATCTTTAACATTCTTGAAGAGATGTCGGGATCATCGTCTCATTCCTACGTGTGTGAAAATATCATCTAAAAAGAACATACGGGGAAGCGCCAAGATCGTTAACAAGGCAAGTTTTAAGTTGTTACGGACGGTGATTCGTCAAACCCGCCGTGATCTACGCAGTAACGACCGGTACGTAGAACAAACGTCCCTTAATATAAAGACAGTATTGACACCAAGTGATTTCAATGATTGCATTGAAACTTTAAATAAGCGCGAAACATCTAAATTTAACCAATGCAAAAACAAACATATATTAAAATACCAAAAATTAGTCGAGAAATATAACATCAAAAAGAAAACCAAAAACAATAACGGAACGCGCCCGTCTACCACAGTTTCAAATTCGTGCGTACGTCAAGCAGTTGTCAATCTGTCAAAACAAACATTGGACGAATCTACTATTCAAGTACTAAGTAAAGGCTTAAATTTTGCTGTTGCGCCGACACGCATCCCTTATGAGAACATTATTTGTGCGGTTGAAGATGCCCTGGCCAAAAATACTATGAAATCTGAGGATATGGAGGCCATACGTCAAGATGTTTCATCTTTGTTACGTCGTAGTTCAAGGCCCAAACCTAATCTCAACAAACAACAGTATTTAGCGTTGAAGAACTTACGCAGCAGGTCAGACATTATCATACTACGCGCAGACAAGGGAAATGCCACCGTCGTGATGGATACATCAGATTACAATGAGAAAATTAAACAACTTTTGTCGGATGAAAGTACATATAAAAAGGTCAAAACAGACCCAACCACCACTGTGTTAAATAATACTAAAAAGCTGATTAAGAAACACTCCGATGCATTGAATCTTGATGTCAAAAATCTTGTTCCATCTTGTGCAAAGCCGCCTAAACTGTATGGACTTCCAAAGATACACAAACCTAACGCTCCGCTACGTCCAATTGTGAGTCAAATCGACACACCGACTTATAAATTGGCCCAACTAGTAGCGAAAGTACTCTCAACACTCAGAGGACAAACATCAGCGTTCACAAGGGACTCGTACCATTTTGTCAATGAGATAAAACACCTACAACTCATGGACAATGAAACTATGGTCAGTTTTGATGTACAGTCTCTATTCACCAGCCTACCAGTAGAGGACTGTGTCAAAATAGTATCAAGAAAGCTACGGGATAATAGTATGCAAGAAGAATACACTGAACTTTTGAAACACTGCCTTACATCTGGCTATCTATTGTGGAATGATGAATTCTACAAGCAAGTGGATGGAGTGGCCATGGGTTCGCCGGTCTCTCCCGTTGTAGCTGACATCTTCATGGAGGCCTTCGAGGAGACCGCCCTAAAAACATCACCTGTGACCCCTCGTTTCTACAAGCGGTATGTAGATGACACTTTCACAATATTACCATCTGATAAAATATCTGTATTCTTAGAACATCTTAACTCCATAAACCCTAAAATACAATTTACAATGGAATTGGAGTCTAATAATTCTTTAGCTTTCTTAGATGTATTAGTTATACGTAACCCAGATAACACCTTAAGTCATACTGTGTATCGAAAGAAGACCCATACTGATAGGTACTTGAATGGTGAATCTCACCACCACCCTTCACAGTTAGCTACCGTGGGAAAATCTTTGTTTCAGAGGGCACGCGGGATCTGTGACGAGCAACACCTGGCCGGAGAGCTGCAACATGTCAAGCAAGTTCTGCGAGACAACAAGCTGCAAGTGCCGCGCCTACGTCACAGGGACCGAGTGAAACCAGCCACAGTCGAGCGCGTCCCTGCAGTCCTACCTTACATGAGAGGCGTCACTGACAAGATTGGCTACATTCTAAAGCGAGCTTCAATTAAAACTTACTTCAAGCCGCCAAAGAAAATTAGTCAGTTTCTACCACCTGTCAAGTGCCACATCCCTCTACAAGATGCAGGAGTTTACAAGCTTGATTGTGATTGTGGGCTCTCTTACATCGGACAAACAAAGAGATCCATTAGAACCCGGGTCAAAGAACACATAGCTGATGTGAAGCACCGTCGCAATACAACATCTGCTGTCTGCAAACATAGTCAGGACCGCCCAAGCCATTATATTCGCTTCGATAGACCTCAAATCCTGGCGAAAGAAAACCGATATCGCCCTAGAATGATTCGAGAAGCCATAGAAATTAAAAAACATCCTAATTTCAATAGGGAAGATGGCTGGGTACTACCATCGTCATGGGATCCTGTTATTAATATAATAAAATCAAATAATAAATATAAACATAACAGACAGGCAGATGTAGTAAGTTCATACTGTGTAGATCAAAATGACAGCTTATCAGACTAATATTTTTCATTTTTCATTTGTAAAAGTATATATTAATAGTGTTGCTTAGTAAGTTGTTTTTAAATAATAGCAAAATAAATTAAAATTATTATCCTTAATTAATTTTAACTTTTTAAATTACACATAGAACAATTATATGGCTTTAATAATTAATACTTCATTTTATATTTTTCTTTATGGTTATAAATATAATAATGGCAACACTAAATATAGATTACTAATTAATATTTTAAAATTGTAATAATTATAAAAATAATAGCAAAATTAAATAAATAATTTTCCATATTCAATTATAATTAAAATTATAAAAATGTTTAAAGTTAAAAAATATTGTAATGTAATTGGTGCAATTTTCATTTTGTTAATTGTGGGTAGGCTGTCTGTAACAACTATACATTCAAGACATGTAACACCTCAGTCTCTCCCGTGACCATGGATGCTGTAAAGCATTCGAAACGTCGGGAAACAAAAATCCAAATAAATCCGCGACAAAATCCGAAAAGATAGTTTTATTTAAAATGTCAAATATTCGCGTAAATCTAAGAAAGTATTATGTTGAAATTACGTTTTCATCAAGACCTAAATAATTTTTGCTTGCGGCCCTCGACACCATGACTGAAACGTGTTTGTGGCTCCTATAAAAAAAAGGTTGAGTATGGCTGCTCTACGCCTATGGTCCATACATTATATAAAGGAAGTATACAGAAAAAAATTAACTGATGTGAATAGCACCTATTATTTAATTATTTCTGTATGAACAAAGTTACAATCTGTACTAAATCATACCAGTCTTTGTCTTTTTCACTAAAAAATATAAATTATTGTTTTATTTGATTGAGTTTCAAGTGTCTTTTTTTTCATTTTTAAGCAGAACTAACAATGAGTTACATTTTCATCTAAAATATGAGATATATATGAATGAAGAGTTTTAAGTCTTTTAATTCTTTTTTTTCCATTCTATTTTTAGGAACTTTTTTTAAAGTAGCGAGCTATTTACTGTTAGCAAACAAATATATGTAGTTACATTTTCAATAAAAAATTATTGTAATAATTGGAATTATATAAAATGGAACTAAACATTTATCCAAAAATAATATTCATATGTTATTTTCTAATTTATTTTTTTATTTATTAATGTACCTACCACAAAAAAACTTCCACCTACCACTTTGTGTACAAAGGGACTTATCTCGTTAAGAGATCACTACCAAAAACCCTAATATGCGAAAAAAAATGAAAATCTAATTAAATAACAATTTAAAAAATAAAATGATTGCTATAAAAATAAATATTGTATAAGAAATTAATATTTTCAAATCCTATAATGAATATATAGCAGTGGCGAAGAGTCCATACAAGACGATCCCTATGGTCTTACCTTAAAATGTATTTTGCTATAGTATTTGACATAAATTCAATTTTTTAAATGTAAAAATGTTCATGTGGATATTATATGCCTTATTTCTTTTTTTTTTATTGTTACATATATAAAAATATCTTTTTTGTGTTTTTTTTTTTGGAACGGCTGCTAAAATGTCACACTTTGCCACTGATATACAAAGCAAAGCAAAGCTAATTTTATCAAAAGAAAGGGTTTTTGATTCTTATGTATATAAATGTTATGTTAGAACACAATTTGGTATTTACAACTTGTATATTTAATTACATAATTTTATTTTTAATTATTAAAAACTTTCAAGAAAAATACATCTTTTTAATTAGAAACAGAATTGAATAATAAGGAAATCGCATCCATTTTATTTTCACCGAGTCCATACTATAGAAAATAAAATGGCATTTGACCGACTGAAACAAAGGAGGTACTCAATTCAGATGTACGTTTTTTGTGCGTTTGTTACACATTATAATCAAGAGATACCGAAGCAATTGAAAAAAATGATCTAAACGAACTTAGTATATAGTTTTTCTAAAGAAAAAAGTTAGGCATCAAATGTACTCTGGAATCCATCTTGACAAAAATATTCTTTAAAAATGGCTTAGAAATCTCTGAAAATATCTTCGGTCAATTATAAAAAGACTTGTATATATTTTTTCACGAATAAAAAAAATTGACTAATATTGTGGAATAAATATTTTTCAAGGAATTTTGAAATTGGTATTCAATTCAATTCTCTTGTAAATGGCTTCAAAGCGTGCCAAGTGAGCACAGATTACTTCGCCAATGTCACGTAGAATGGAGAAGACATGTTTTTTGGTATATGTTTTAGTTAAAAATTAAACATGGCAACATTTAATTTATCTATGGGAATCTTATGACGGTCGTTCCAAAGGCGTTGTCGCTGCACGCATGCGCTAATGCAGACTCAAAGTCTTGAGGAAAGAAAACCTGCAAAAAAACAAATTTTAGAAAAAAAAAATATGTACTACCTTCATTTGAAAATATATAAAAAAAAAGTCTTGAAATCAATCTATTAATATGATTTTATTAAATTTTCACGCACGCAAGCAAGCAAGCGCGTTACCACTGGGATACCACTACCTTACTATTATATGTTATTATTATACTAGTTTTACACTTACTTTGTCTAAAATAGGCGCGAGCTGTCCAGAATCGACGAGCAATCGCAAACTTTCGAGACCGTCTCGCAATTTGTTTCTATCTTCCAACCAATCTGTGTTCGAACCGCACCCTAATATCCACTGTTGAAGATAAAAAAACTTTAATCAAAATTAAAGTTTAGATACAACAATAATTTTTGATACTTTCTTAGATTTACGCGAATATTTGACTTCCATACTAATATTATAAATGTGAAAGTGTGTTTGTTTGTTTGTCCTTCTTTCACGTCGAAACGGAGTGTCGGATTTTTTTATGTGGAGATAGTTGGAGGGTGTGAAAATAACAAATGCTAATTTTTACCGCGGGAGATTATCTCATTCGCACGGTAAATCACGTTATAATACAACCCAAAAAAAATGTTTATGATCAGAATTACTTTGTAATTTACTTTGCAGAACTATTTTGACTCAATTTATAGGGACAAAATAGCTAATCGCTCTGTTGTGATAATACTCTGACGTCACATTCGGTCTGACCAATGGCGTGCGTTTCATCAACTACTTTGAATTTCCCATCTATACTTGCACTTTTTAATATTAAGTATTTTAGTAATATAAGGCTTAATTCAAAAACAATAAAGGTTCTAATAAAAAAATATTTCACCATTATTTAAATCACACGCATATTACCTATTATGCACTATAATATCTCTTGCGCAGGCTAGTCTCAGTGAGATTAGCCGCCTTACCATGTTTGGACATTATAATTTTTAAGGTATATTGTATTTTATTCAACAATTTTCATTTTTTATTGAAAAATCGAATCTAAATATAATTATAGTTAGTTTACAAATAACTTACCCTGAGAGTTCTAAACATATAGAAGGAAGAACAAAATATAATCCAAAATGGCGTCGGAAGACGGTCTGTTATTAAAGGCTTTGGTCGAACATCTACTAAAGCTTTTCGAGACGCGGTTGCTCTGAAATACAGTATAAAGGATAAATAAAACAAATTAATATAAATAAAATAAAGAAAAATATATTAATAAAGTAACTTTGTAAATATAAAGAGTGCTATAATGTATCTTCCAATACATATGTATAATACAGACTGTACACGTGAATAATATTTAAATATCAGTTTGTTAGTAGGACGCGGACATTCAAACAAACTTTTTAAAAGGTGTTGCTGTAAAATTGCATTGTTTATAAATGTCTGTATAATAGTAGTGTAATTTTCAATTTTTATTTAATAAATTATTGAGTAATCTCCATAAACTCTCAAATAAACAACCTAAAATAGAAGCATACATTTATTTAACTATTTTATTAAGTTTGCATATTTCAAAAAACTTTAAAATAATACAAATAGGATTTAACTAACTTGAGTAATGGTGGCGGTGGCGGGGGCGGAGCACCCTGACAGCAAATGGCGGAGTCCCACAAGCCAGTGCGACTCGCATGCTGCTCCAATGGCAGCCATGAGGGGAAGACGTGAGCGTTAATACCCTCACTGTCTATAAAGTCTTGGGCACCTAAATAATGAAATCATTGATTGGTTTATAACATCTGTTTTCTTATATTTACGCGAATATTTGACATTTTAAATAAAACTATCTTTTCGGATTTTTTCGCGGATTTCGCACGAAACGGGAACCAAAATTCAAAATCAATCCGCGAATATGTTATATTCTGTTATTAATATAAATTAATTCCATAAAAAAATATATTTGATTAGTATATTTGTAATGTTTTATGTACTCATAACAAACCAGAAAGAAAATAGTTTCATTTGATAACAGGAAAAGCCACCAATGAGCGATGACCAAAAGGGGCGTGGCATTTCGACTATATATGATAAAATTACACAGTATGTATATATTTCTCAAAGATCAAATACACCCACATGATATCGATGGCGTATATCTAGAAATACCCCAATGATATTACTTTATTAACATTGTTTAAACTAAGCACAAAATAAGCTAATTACAATTTAAGTTACTAAAGTAACGATTTGTCACTGCCAACTGTACTAGGCCGAGGCAGTATTAATATAATGTCTACGTAATGAATATTTTGAATAATTAAACAGTCTAAAAAAGGTGAATTAGTGAGCGAGTCAATAAGTAAAATAGATTAATATATAACGTACCTAAGTCTTTCAAAGTTCTGTGAGAATTTCTAGGCGCTGATACTGTGACTCTTGCCCCCCACGAGCTCAGCAGTTGCACTAAGGCACATCCCTCCCCACTGTTTGCGCCCACAACGCAAACACTGAAAATATTAATGAAATTTTATTACTATAAAAACTTAAAAATAATAATAAAAACCGACTTCCAAGCAATAGAATGTAAAAAATAACTAAACGGGGTTTTTCATTTAGAATAGATACCTAATCAGATATTTTCGAAGTCGGTACCAGCCGAAGCTATATACATACATATATTATAATATACAGTGTAGCTGATGATATTCTAAATGAAAACCCGCCGCTTAGTTATTTTGTATATTTTAGTGCCTGGAAGTCGCTTTTTTTAATTTTTAATTTTTCCATTTTTAGTGTAGACGTAATATGCAGGTAATTTGTAAGAAAAAAGTTTTTATTAACATATTCGATTAAGCAATTTATTTAAAAAAATAATTTATTTGTTGATTTTTTTAAAAACCGCTCGACCGATTTCGATAAAATTTAAACGGTCCACCTGAGAAGTATACGCTTCGAAACAAAAAACAACCCTACTCGGTGAACATACATAAAAGAAGAACTAAGATTCCGACGAATTGAGAACCTCTTCTTTTGGAAATCGGTTAAAAATAGCGGCTTATTCTCTCTTTGCTCGGGTACGTCCCTAGATACCAGTAACAGTATCATATGTGTTACTCCAAGTCATAGTCTATGTGTTCACCTTGTCGTGCTGGGGGGCTCATTAGCATCCGGCACTCCAGCCGGGTGAGAAGCCAAGAGACACAGGGAGGTGGCCCACTTTGGTGGGCGGTGTGCCGTGCGGGTTGCTCCTGGCACTTGACCTTGGAGCAACCCCAAGGATGTTGTGGTCTGCTTCGGCAGGTCTACCGTCGGGGCGTCGTAGTTGAATGCGTAAGTGATCCTGCCACGCCCCATTAAGACGGGGGAGGTTCTGTTGGGTTTTAGTGGGTAGTACTAACTTTGCCGGTGACCTGTATGTATGCATGTGGTATGCGTAAATGCATTTTCGAACATTAAAAATAGTTGTCACTAGTGCTTAGAGACCATAAACTTCAAAGAGTGTCAATTATACCTATATGTAGGGCCCCATCATAAGAGTGCATACGAGCTACTTACTACAAACACTACTTAACACTTATGATCGCCTTGTATTTGTGGATCAAGTGCGAGTCGGACTCGCACGCGCTGGGTTCCGTACCATCATACAATATAGCAGCAATAGTAATACATACTTTGTGAAAATTTCAAATTTATACTTATTACGGTTCATAAGATACAACCTTCTTACAGACGGATAGACGGACAGCGGAGGCTTAGTAATAGGGTCCTGTTGGCACCTTTCGGATACGGAACCCAAAAGTGTCGTGACAGTCGAAATATTACACTTGTATCCTTCTAGCTCTCATTCGCCAAGTGTGCCGAGTGACGAAACACTTACCGTTTTCCTTTACAATTTGTGGGAGTGAACTGTATCCTTTGCAAGGCGTTCAGTGCGAGTGATCCCGTCCAAGGCAAGGCCGCTGCAGTATCTGCAGCCAAATGGCGCGGACGTTTACTAACTCTTGTACTAAAAATTAAATTTGTTTCTGAAATTAACGTAAGGAACAGAACATCTATTGATTGAAATGTTTATTTTTTTAATAAAAAAAAAGCTATGAAATCGTTTGGAACCATTGTTAAATATTGTGTAACATAAAAAAAATGGCCGACATTTAAAATTTTTGCGCATAAAAAACTGTATATCCGAGACCCGTCTGTTGAATATTTTTGTAAATAAGTTTAAAGTTATCCAGATTTTTTTTGTGTGAACTGTGATCCTTTTTTTTTAGAAAAGCGTTATCTCACGGCTCCAACGCGTTTAATTTTGTAAATTTACTCCCCTGTCGTATCTCTAAGTGATATGTAAGGAAGCTTAAACCTAATAATATAATATATACTACAAAATGTAAAAAGAATTTTACAAATCGGACCAGTAAATGAGATTAGCGTATTCAAACAAACAAAAAACTCTTCAGCTTTATATATTAGTATAGATATAGTGTTATTTTTTTTCTTTAATATTTAAAGGTCTTTGGATATCTTGAGATTATGCCAGACCTATCGTATCACAAAAACATATATTCATCTACATAACTGTTGCTTCCTTAAATATTTTTATCATTTCATTAAAAACTAATTTAGCTTGTTCTGTTACAGGAGTAGCAAGTATGCCATGAAATCTACCAACATCTTTAACATTAAAATTAAAATTTTTAATCAAATTATTTCGCTAGGCTTCGCTTCGGGTACACTCCACTAAAATATGTTGTACATCTTCTATGATGTCGCAAGTACGACAATTAGCTGATAATGTTTTTTTCATTAAATTACTTCCCTACGCATTTTACAATCTAAAGTGTTAAATAAATACAAAAATTATATTTACCTTCTGATAGCAAGTAACTCGTTAGCAGCTCCACCGCACCATTCACTGACACATCCCCATACTTCGTCACCCATTTCCAAATCCGTCACCCCTTGACCCACGTCCAGTACTACGCCTATGTGAGAATTTAAAAAAAATACCATCGAATACTTTTTTATACTTACGCGAATATTTGACATTTTAAATAGGTACTATCTTTTCGGAAAAAAAACAATATAAATCCGCGAAATAATCTGAAAAGCAAAATGGCGCTACTCAAGAACTTTTAAAACAGAGGAACGGGTATAAGTATGTGTTTTTTCCATGGCTACAATTTATAAATCAAAAAGTGCCAGTCTAATTTATGACGATGCATCGGGTAACTTGCATGGGATATTACCGTGGTAATATCATAATTAGAAGATGAATTCATACTTTCTTACATTTACCAGAATATTTAACATGTCAAATATTATTATTTTTCGTTTTTTTTTCGCGTATTTATTTTTAGTTACAGCAGTAGTTAAACATTAATCAGACTTATTTATCGAAAAATTAAAAATGTAATATATAAGGTTTACATACCAGCAAACCCCCTGCCAACTGTGACTTGGGAATTGGTCAAGAGTGATCTAAGAGCTGATCCACGACCTCTTAGAACACATCGATCAGTACTGGAAACACTGAAAGCCTGCACACGTACCAGTACTTCCCCCGTACCCGCCCCTAAGAAAAATTGTAATCCTATTAGTAGGCTGTGCGAACTTAGTCACCCAACTTTGGAAAAATCGTTCTTTTTTTTAGTTTCTTTGAAACATTTCGGTAAGTGGATAGTAATGAAGGTAACTTCGTTGTGCCAAAAAAATACAGACAACAAAAAAAATGTTATCCCCCGAAACTGTAAAAAAAAATTTTTTTAATACTTTATAGTTGTTTGTAGTAGCGTTAATTTCGTTTGTACAAACGAAATAATGCTACTACGAACGAAATTAATGTTACTACAAACAACTGCTAATGCTTATCTTCGTATCAACTTCTATTCCACTACACTCAAAGATTCTTCCAGCCCTATTAGTATTATGTGAGAGTTTTGATGTTTAGATGAAACTTTGCATGAAATTATGTCTTGGTTTAACACATAGTTTTTATCCCAGTAATGTATTACCGTGGATTATTAACTTTATTTAAATTCAGTTTAAACTTAATACTTATTATCAATAGATGGCGCTAGACGACGAGAAGAACTTAAAAAAAAGACAGGTGATATTATGCCGTTATAAACACAAATTTATTTAAGTTACAACTACTTTAACTTATTCAGTCAACACACTGACGTGGGAGACGGTCACGTAGCGGGTCATTTCATCAAGTTTATAAAAAGATACAATCTCGACATTGTAATTTTATTATAAATATAGATATATAATTAACAAAGATTTAAAGTCAAATGAACCTAAAATTTAAAATTAAAATAAAAAGATATTGGGGATTTTTTTATCTAAGATCTTTATATAACTTAATATGATATGAGAAAATAGACACTGAAATATAGTTTCTAATGCCAAAAGTTCTCTTTAAAACTCACCTGGAGATACAGCATCTTCTACAAGTAAGACTGTTTGATCAGCCTGTGTGTGAAGAGCCCTAGCGTGTGGCCCATTTGGGACTCTGGTCCCGGCTCGAAGCCCTATTAAAAGCCCTGCACTTCCTCCGACCGCGGCCCCACAGAAGAATATTATCATACTGCGACGCCACACTAAAAAGTATTTAATGTATTTTTGTAAAAGCACACAAATTATTTCTGCCTGTCCTCTTTTCATACAATTATTTCTAACAATATATACATACAAAATCTCAATATATCGTGTACATAGCAGAAAAATAATAAAAAAAATAGTCATAAGTTGTGCGAATTTATTGATTTAGACGATTTCGCTAGAAATTTATATATTTATATAAATATAATATTTTACACGTTTGTGCGACACAAAGGAGGGTAATGTATTTGTCAGCCTATGTATGTATGTATGTATGTTTCTTTGTGGCACTCTAGAGACAAAATGCGTGGGTCGATCAATGGATTTTTCCTTATCTTCATGACGTAATCAAACATGACATGACGACATGTCAGTAATCAAAATTCAATATGGCGACAACCAGACGCCATATTGTGAAAAAGAAAAAATGAAAGTTGACGAACTTGATAAGTGGGGTATCATTGAATAGGTATTTGAAAATCATTTATGTTTCTCTTATAATTTTTCATTTCGAATTTTTTAGAAATTCAATTTTTTCGCAATATTTCGAATTACTATTTAGAATTTTTTTCGAACCATCTAGGGATTAAATCGTTATACATCATAACGATTTAATCCCTCCACGGTCACAGACACGCCGGCGTTACAGTTAACAACAGATTTCTTAGAAATTTAATTAATTTCTTAGAAATTTACCTGGAAGTTATAAAGTTAGTTATTCCCTCCAAAATAAGAATTCATTTATTGATAAATATTGATAAATAATACTGTGTCCATTGGTAGGTTATCATATAACTTATATACCAAATTTCAACATGTATACATGATAATATTGTATCTAATTTATTTTTATTCAGAGAATATTCTGCAGTTAATTAAAATGACTTAACATTTTTGGTTTCATATTTATAACCTAAAGAAAAAATATTTTTTTACTATGGTCTTTGAGTAAAGCGACAAGTTCTTCGTAAAGTATCATTGGGGAGAGGGGCGGAGCGCCTTCCTGTATCCTTCGGGCTGCTTCCCGGGCCCATGCTGACGCCTTAGCCCTTCCCTCCGCCACTAGGTCATGATGCCACAAGTCTGCAAATGTTTCTCGAATCTAGAATAAATTGTTTTGAATATTTAATCTGCTATAGAGCAAGCTTAAACTATTGCCAAGTGGTTTGTTTTTATTCCATAAATTATAATTATATTAATTATAATAACGAGCCTGCCCGATTTGTTGACATTTATGATTATTGTTCTGCTCTCTTGGGTAATAGAATGATTATTGATTATATATAGCCTTCCTTAATTAATGGGCTATCTAATACAAAAAGAATTTTTCAAATCAGATTAGTAGTTCCTGAGATTAGTGCGTTAAAACAAACAAATACACAAACTTTACCTTTTTATAATATTAGTATAGATTGTATTTTATTAATTTGTATGTATTTTTGTTTTCTTTTTTTATATAATATATATATTTCATATCTGTATTTTTATATTTCCTGTTTCTTTGAATTGTATAACTTTTTATTTGAAACAATTCAAAGAAACAGGAAATACAAAAGTACAGACAATTGTATACTATCTCAAAAAGAAATCTCTTCCACTCGACCCATGTTTGTGAGAAATAATGTTAAATACAATTCAAATTTTCCTTGTGTCCAATAATATTAATTAGACATAAGAAAAAATTGCAGACATGTATGTAGATTTTTTATAACATTGTAGCCTAAATGGGGGTATAAATCAATTCAATACAATTTTCTTGCTAATGGTCTCAAATCGTGCCAGGAGATAAATATTTGTTAACAGTAAATATGAACAACCCATAAGGGTATTTAATAATACCAACTAACATACATAAAATGAAACTAACAATCTTCTTTATACCTCACCTTACTAATGGCTTCTGCAGTTTGATCATAAACATTGTATACTCTATTTCTACTACTATTAGCGGCAACTACAGCAGCTTCCTGTAAGTATATAAATAATTACTTAATTGTTTATATACATTTTTTCCCCTTTCTCAGGTGTACTTTGGTTGTAGTTTAATGAAATAAATTCTATATAATTTCAGATCCATGATAATATGATAAATGTAAAAGTGCCTAACTCTGACAGTTTGTTTGTTACATTTAGACAGCTGATCAGATTTTTATAAAATTTGGGAAGTACATACATTGCTTCATGGTGACAAAGGCTACCCTTTGCCCTTGATTGCCATATAACCAAAACTAATTTATATAAATCAACATTTAGCCTTAAAAATGTTGTTTTATGCAGTGAATATGGTAAATGATTGTGTAAAACAGTTATGAGGGTTTTCTCAGTAGTAATTTTCAAGAAGGAAATGAATAGTGTTAAACTTCTTGGTATTTCCCCAGAAGCTCAGGAAGACTTTATTATTATTTTTACAATAATTACTTAAATGCTATAGATATTACCTTGTTCTGATTTTTTTTTAAATAGTTCAAGTAACTCAATATGTAGTAATTTTTTACTATATACTAAGTATAACTAATTTAATGTCTAAAATATTATATCAAACTGTAAACTAGAAAGTTTTTTTTTTTAATTTAATAAGAATCAATTTAGAAAGAATTAAATTAATAGTAAGAATACAAATGTATAGTTATGTTGTTACATAATAATAATAAAAAAACGTATTTTAGTTTAATATTGAAAGCAAAATTTTACAAGCATTTTAAAAACTTCTAATTTAAAAAAAATCATATATAATTTTTTTGTTTTCAAATCTAATTTTAAATGTGTATTCCTATACCAAAATTAGTGTTCTAAATACATTACTACCTAATGTCACAATAATTCAAAATGTTCTTGGCTTAATGAATGTAGTATTATATAAGTTTCAGGGTCAAACTAATAATAGCATAATAATGGCTTCAAAACAAATATACAAATAACGAAATATAAACATTACGTAAAAATAAATTATGAAAACAAACAAACTTTACGAGGGAATTATACGGGATCAAAGTAAATAACGAACACTTACATGTAAAGCTTCGAATTTTTCTCCCGCTCTTTGCCGAAGTTCATCCATATCAAACGTCGCGACGGAGGAGGGCTAGCCTACACCAAATGCACTGTTACTTCATATCCAAACTCATCAGAAATTTAACCTTTGGCCACAATCCATTTAAAATATTTTGGTCTCAAAATAGAACGTCATTGTAAATACAGCTCACGTAGTAAATATTTTAAATGTCAAATTAAAACTCAAAAGTTAGCCTCTATTATAAATTCGGATAACGTTTAATACGAATTAATTGCAAAAATGCTTAATACAATCTAATTTTTACCTTAAGCAAACATAACCCATAAAACACTTGTGACAGTGACAGCGGATACACCTGTTTTTGACATTGATAACCACAGCTGTTATGGCTTTTCGGATACACGTATCTACATATACTAATATTATAAAGAAGTTAGTGGGTTTGTGACGTTGCAGGGGGTAATCTCTGGATCTACTAAGCCGATTTAGATGAAATTTCGTAAGAGAGTTAGAAGCCCTGGAAAGGACATAGGATACTTTTTATCCCAGAAATCACTCCTTAAGGTGGTGAAAATGGGGATGAAAGTTTGTATTTTGAAGCAAGCTAGGGACGATCCCGAACGAAGCGCGGGTGAGTCGCTAGTATAATATAATTTTAACGTTAATGTATTTATTAAAAGTAATATTTTTAATCCATACTAATTTTATAAATATGAAAGTGTGTTTGTTTATTTTTCCTTCTTCCTTGTCGAAACAGATTGCCGGATTAACGTCATTTTTGGTGCGGAGATAGTTGAAGGGCTGGAGAGTGACAGGCATAGAGTTATTAGCGCGGGAAACGGAAGATTATCTCATTCCCACAGGAAAAAACGTTATAATACAACTCACAAGTATATACACAAAATAAGTTGAATAATAAGACATGTTTCTTTTATATTCAATGTATTCTTAGTATAAAGTACATTTTTTTTAAATAACAATTTACGAAACATTAAAGAAGGCTTGTAACTTGGCAGTGCAATATTTCTATTACTATAATAACGTATACTAAGCGACATAATAAATCACCTCAGTACGCTAGTGGTATGTAGGACTGCATATCCTAAAGTCCATTGGTGCGAGGTGGAGGTGTTCATGTCCCGGTTGAGGCCAAAATAGGTACTAAGTTTTACTGGCAATAGACTTATAGTAGCAGCATAGAGTTTTTGAGACTGAAATTATAGAGTGGACGTTGTGTGAGTGTAAACAACCTCACACGTCTGCCTCTTTTTTTAGGTCTAATTTCAGTTCAACTGGCCATAGTAACCAAAATTCGCTCTGATGGACTTTTAACATAATGAAAATATTCTAGACAAGGGTATAATTACAAAATTACATATAAGTATAAAACGATGTCAGAAAAACCTCCAGTTACATATAATTGAAAATATTTCACCCAACCCAGTTTTTTTATTGAAAACATTTCAAAAATGAACTATTTATCACACTTCTTAAAAATTTGTTTTGTAACAGATCCTATTTTTCAAAGTATTAATCTGACCAAGTTACACTTAGTATCATTTTCATCAATCTATTTCTTTCGGTCTCATCTAAAATTCCCTATGCTAGAGATTCTTCGAATTGCAATTAAGTAGGTATACAAGTAAATTTAATATCTCAGTTACTTTCAATTGTTTCAACCAATATAAAGGTAAGCGCTGTAACTCCAGAATTTAATTCCAGATTTTATTTTGTTTTGCTTATTTCATGACATGGAAAGCTGTTAATCATTCATGTGTTACACCCCTGTGGACTCATCTTTCTTCGACTTTTGTTTTTTGGCTAAGTCTTTGTAGATGTCTTCAAGAGATCTAGCTTTCGTCTCTGGTATAACTAAAATAACATATGCAGCCATCGAGAGGCAAACCAAACCAAAGAAGTAGAACGCAACATGTATGCCGATGGAATTGGCAAGTGGTTTGAAGAATAACAGTTGGAAGAAATCGGCCAATGAAGAACAGGACATCGTCGTTGCCATAACAGTTCCGCGATACTATAAGATAATACATTAAATTAATTATTATGAATAAATAAATACCACATATAGAAACAAATGTATCTACTTCACTAGCTAACTTGTGGCAAGAATGCTAATTGTATATTCTGGCAGAATCGATAAAAAATATAATTATTATAAAAAAAATTGAGGAGGAAACCTCAACCAGCAAATTTTAAAAGTAATTTGCTAGTTGAGGTTTCCTCCTCAATTTTTTTTATTGGCAATTATTTATAAGCGTGCCCAAAAAACTAAGGTTTCCTTTACGGGGGATTTTCTGATGGCAACTTTTTCACCACAATGGTTTAAGTTAAGGAGAGTTTACACTACTGTGTTGCATCTGATCTGACTAATCTCTAAATTGAGAATATTAACTTATTTGATAGAATATCTTTGTAAATGAGTTTAGTATTAGAGTCTACGCTTAAACTATAATATTTTCGTTTATTTATAAGAACGATAAGACGATATTCGATCACTCTTTAGTCTTACCTTAAAACTGAATATTTCACCCATCAAAACCATGGATATGGGTTGCAAACCGGAGGAATCACAGAATATGCAAATGCATAGGGTCAACAGTGGAATCCATGATGGCGTTATAACTTCATAATCTCGCATCAAGAACCATGAGGCCAGGACGCACATACTTAGTCCCGATATAAAAGACGATACAAAAAGGAGAGGCTGTAAAAAATATTTTATCTATAATAGAATTCCTGAAACTTTGTTTATATTTACCAATTTCTATGTCTGATTTAAATACCTTTCTTCCAGATTTATCCACAACACTAGAAGCCAGGATTGAGCCCAGGACTTGAACAGCACCCAGCAACATAGCTTGCTGGTTAGGACTGAGTATGATACCATCAGTTGAGGCCAAAGTGAAGATCTCTCCAGCAAAGTTCATTACTGGTATTGCACCACAGACTTCTCTAGCTAATGTAGTTACCATCGAGATTTCGAACGCTTTCCTTAAAGTTTTGTCAGACCCTGAAATATAATATTTTTAATGGTAATTTTTGCGAGTGGTTTAGGTAAGAAATTTAAAGTAGTTTAAACGCACGCCATTGGTCAGACCGAATATGACGACAAAGTATGATACTTTGACGTACATATACATAGTGCCACTTGAACTAATACTAAATCGTGCTCATAGTTTAACTTACAAATGGACGTTAGTAAAAATTCATTTCCGCCTTTATCTTTCTCCTGTTCATTGGTGATTATGTTCAGTTCTTCTTGGATTAGGCTGTCCTTCTCAGGCTTGCATCTCAACCAAGCGATAGCTTTAGTCGCTTCCTTAAGATGACATGAATAATATTTTAAAACGTAAGCGTATATAAAATAAAAGGTAAACTCCATCGATCAAAAAAGTACTAGATACACAATCAGCGACAAAAAATGTCCTCACCGAATGAGCGCTCATTTGAACATTTGAGCGCGCTTTTAATCTTTATTTTTTTGTAAAAGCAATTTTAAGCATTGCATTTAAGGTTCAATTTACATTGTTGTACATTAATGTACATTTATATTGGTGACAGTTTTAAGGGAACTTTTGCATGGGATTGTGTAATGTGTATCTTGTACTTTTTTGATCGATGGTGAACTGTATGATAATTTGAAAAAAAAGGCGTGACTGAATTTTTATAAATTTTTAATCGACTATCGTAAAGGTGCGCTTACGTACTAAGGCCATAATAGTTTTGTTGAAACTATTGAATTAAATGAACTACAAAAAATACCACATAATAAAGTAAATATCCATGAGCTTAAAAAACTTATCTATACTTAATATTATAAAGAGGTAAAGTTTGTGAGTTTGTGAGCTTAGGAGTTTGTAACGTTGTAGGGGGTAATCTCTGAATCTACTGAACCGATTTAGATGAAATTTGGTAAGAAGATAGTTTGAGACCCTGAAAAGATGTCCTTTACTTTTTATCCCAAACATCCTCCCTTAATAGGTTTAAAATGGGGATGAAAGTTCAAATCAACCTAAGTAAGTCTAGCAATAAAATCAATAATAAGTTATTCTAATGTTATGTGAAAAATTACCTCAGTCTTTCCTTGCTTTACTAGGTATGAAGGGGATTCTGGCATGAAGAAAAATAAAACCATATGCAGAACCGGTATAGCCAGACAAATCCAAAGGATCACGTTATAGCTAAGCAAATCTCCCAAAATATAGAGTGCAACGTTACCCACAGTGTGGAATAAAATAACCTGGAAAATATACAGCTTAGTACTTATCCATCAGAAAGAATTAACAATTTTTTAATACAAAATTAACATGTAACTGTTCGTTTGTGCAAAACCACAAAGATTCGAAAATTCATATTCCGTCTTACTTAAATGGAGAAGTTTCATGATTTTTTTTAATATCATATTTAACGCAATGGAATTATAATATAGAACAGTGAACTTTTTTTGAAATGTATCAACAAATAACTTAGAAAATAATTGTCTAAGTTTGCGGTCTCTCACTCGAGTGTGACGTCATTTTACCTTACTGAGATTAATTTATTTACTAGCATTGCCCGCGGCTCCGCCCGCGTTCAGATGACCAAAAACCAAATTTTTAGGTTTTACATATTAGTCTTAAAATGCAGTTTTTGATTTTTTTTCTCAGAAATGAGATATTTTCCCGCGGTCAAAAGTATCCTATATGTTGACCCGGATAACCAGCTACCATCATACCAAATTTCATCAAAATCTGTTCAGAGTTTGCGGTACGTGATGCGGTAACAGACAGACAGAGAGACAAAAATTCTAAAAACTATAGATTCGGACTCTGTATCGATAATTATGTCCATTTCAATTAGATTTTCCTAAAAATAATGTACAGATTCGACTTAGTTACAATTTTATTATATGTATAGATTTATTAAGACTACGAACAGAAATGACAGTAATACAAATATAATTAATATAATACAATAAACACAGTATAATTGTATTTCTTTTTAGAGGTAATCACAACATGCGTGGAAACAAAAGAAAACAATCAGTTTAATAAAAGAAAGGATAATAAGAAGTTAAAAGCTAAATACATTATTAATATAAATAAATTATTGAAAAGAAATATAGTTATTTAACAGTATTATAAGGATTTTTATTATATACTGAGATCGTCGCACCACTAAATATCATCAATTGTTTTTGTGTCACACGCGAGTACTCGCGCTGTTGCTAATTATTTTACGTACAGCTGCTTGTTTTTTTTATTTAATGTAGTGTTATTTTTAATTTAAACTTCGGACGTTCAGGTCGTGTGACGTCACAAAATTATTTTTTATTCTTACAAGCACAACTTTAAGGTTTCATAATCTTTTCATTTGTTAAGATATTTTAATAATTCTTTTATATATTTTTGTTATATTATACTTAAGTTTTTATAATGAATACAAAAAAAAAATTGGGAACTTTTTCATTATGACAAAAAATATCTGACGAAAAAATGTTTTTCGATTTTAGAAATATCAATGTTTTAAAAAAAACAAGGCGGGCAAACCCACAGATAAGCAATTAATATACTTACAAAACATCCTAAGGAACCTCTAATGCTATCATCACTGATCTCCTTAGTGTATATTGGACAAATGACGTAAGACCCTGACATGATGACGCCGACAAGTGATCGAGCTAGGATCAGAGCCCACAGATCGTAGGAAATGAGTAAAAAAATCCAACTTGCCTAAGAATAATGGATAGAATTATTTATTAATAATAATAATAACCGATTTCGGCCATGGCGGCCAATCTCACTGAGACTAGCCAGATGTACAGGAGATATTATAGTGCACAAGCACTATCTATTCCTTTTTACTCTCAAAGTCCGATAGGACGATACTTCGACACGACCGGTGAGAGTTAAGATTAAATTCCAACTTTATAATTTTCGCCCTATCTAATATAGACATTATGGTATAGACTGAAATTATTTGACTGGCACAAATAAATAATTTTATTATAATTTTCATTAATTTAATGATGACCCATATCATATGGTCTTTTTGGAACAATTTTCTTATGGGAACAACTATGATAGCCAAGGTAAAAAGCAGCTTATATTATGTCATGTGATAAAACATACTTGTAAAACCCACAAAATTTTACTTTCGAATTTATTCTGTTAATTCAGCATTTAGCTTATATGAAGTCATTAGCGTTTATATTATTTTTATACATTTACAGTTATATTTTTATAATTTATTTTTATACTTACAGCGCCAGCCAGAGATACGAAGTAAAGACCCGTTTTCCTCCCAAACTTGTCCACAACGTACGCATTTAATGAATTTGCAGGAACACATATTAAATATGGCATAGCTGCCATCCAGGAAACCTAAAAATAGATATATACGTATAAGATTATATAGCATTCAAATAAACATAGTTTTCCATATAGATATATAATAAAATTGTAACTAAGCCGAATCTGTACATTTAATATTTTTTGGAAAATGTTATTGAAATAAACATTATTATAGATACAGATGCCGAATCTATAATTTTTAGAATTTTTGTCTATCTATCTGTCTGTCTGCCTGTTACGGCATCACAGAAAACCCACTGAAGGTATTTTTAAGAAATTGGTATGGAGTTATCCGGGTTGACATATAGGATACTTTTTACCGCAAGAAAGTCTCATTTCTGAGATAAAATACTAAAACTACAATGTAAGAGTGTACTAACATGTAAAATCTAAAAAATTTGGTTTTTGGTCATCTGAACACGGGCGGAATCGCGGGCAATGCTAGTAGTATATATGTATGTACCTAACACTTAATATGATCATCAAACTTCAAAGCATACGGGTCGTTCTGTACAAACTAGAAAAGGGATTTCAAATATGTAAGTATCTTATTTTGGATATCTGTACAAAATCGTATCATCGAAATCTGTCCAATCGTTCCTGACTTGAGTGACACGTAAATAGAAAACTTTAAGTACCTACTCGTGGTTTTTGTGACAAATTGTTGACTTTTTTCAAAAATAAGTTTCCACAATTTACTTTGAAAAATTGCGAATTAAACATAAAATAAATAAAAACTAAGAGAACACAGTAAGTCGTTCTAAATTTCTTTCTCTTTGTACCGCCAGTTTAGTTTAGTAGTTTGAGACACTGAGTTTTGGTTAAACGGCATTTAATACCTAAGTTATATGTTTATAGTTTAGGTTTCTCAAAATTATAACTACCTTGTTGATCTATTGGCTATGTAATACAGATGCTGGTATCAAGATTTTAAGTCTTATCGAAATTTACCGAAATTTATTAAAAGAATTGTATGAAAAATACAAACATACATTTTACCTAGGATCGAACCTATGACATCTGCATGCTGTATATATGTATACGACATAAGTGATAGTATAAAATTCAAATAGGTGGTCAAATTTAAAATTCAATCAGGTGTTTTATGTAGATGCAGAAATTGAGGTTAATTTAGACTAATATAAAACTGTCATCTAATAAAAGAATTTTATGATAAATACATATATAAATCTTGTCTAGGATGGAACCTGTGACCTCTGTATGTTGTATGTAATGTTTACGGCACACAGTGATAGGTTCAAATTCAAGTGGTCAGTACCTCAATATCTGTTAGAGGAACTCCGCGTGGTGAATCTTTGGACTGCAGGAGAAGCGACATGGGAGACATCCATCCTATACTGGCACCATACGCCAGTACAGGTAGATTTACTGTAACAGAACGTAACAACAACATTATTTGTGTAAATCTTCAATTTTTTATAGGTATCTATACTAATATTATAAATAGGTAAAGTTTGTGAATTGTGAGTTAGTGAGTTGGTGAGTTTGTGAAGTTGTAGGGGGTAATCTCTGGATCTATATAACCGATTTAGATGAAATTTGGTAAGAAGATAGTTTGAGACCCTGGGAAGGACATAGGATTTTTTATCCCGAAATCATACCTTAAAGGGTTGAAAATGGGGATGAAAGTTTGTATGGGGAATCAACAATTATAAAAGGTGCAATATGCAGCGCTGGAATTACACTAGGGGCCACTCGGGGCTAGTGCACAGGGCGGCTTTATAGGGATGGCAAAATTCGGAGGGTGGTTAAAAAAAATTCTTTGCGTTATCGAAAATGCTTTTTTTCGAAAAATTGAAATCATTTATAAATTAATATTATTTTGAATTTTTCAAAAAAATTATAATTTAAAAAATTAAAACGTTATCGAAACTTTACTTATTTTATGCAAAATTTCTATAATAAGGCGGCATGTTTTACTATACCCAGGTGCGGCGCTAAGGTTAAATCCAGCACTGGCAATATGTTTTGGCCGGGTTGGCTATTAAAATGTATTTTCAACCGACTTCCTCAGAAAGGTGGAGGTTTTCAATTTGACATACATATAATAAAATTGTAACTAAGCCGAATCTGTACATTAAATATTTTTTTGGAAAATCTTATTGAAATAGACATTATTATCGATACAGAGGCCGAATCTATAGTTTTAAGAATTTTTGTTTGTCTGTCTGTTTGTTACCGCATTACGGATAAACCACTGGAGGGATTTTGATGAAATTTGGTATGATGATAGTAGGTTACCCTGGTCAATATATAGGATACTTTTTACTGCTGGAAAATATCTCATCTCAGAAAAAAAGGATACTAACCGTTAAAATGTAAGTATAGGGCCGAACCTGACCGGAGCGAGGGTGAGTCGCTAGTTTATATATAAAGTCAATAATAGTTACTTAAAAAAAACTTACTCAATACAGCACATAATATTTGATTTATTTTGCTGTCTTCTTGAAATATTCCATAAAATTTCATTTTGATTCACTATATTTTTTCAATTATACAAGTATAGTTATAAAAATTGCTTCAAAGCAAATACATAATTATTTTTTAATGAATATTATTTTACTCGCAGCTCTTTTCAGCGTGCGTGCGTAAACTTTAACACATTTATAATACCTATAAGATAAGAATATTTGGTAGATTAAGAGTGTTAGTGAAAAGGGAAACCTTTCAGCACAATATTTATTGTTATGTAACACGACAATATCTAATAAACGTAATATATTATTTAAATACTAAAAAGCAGACGTAATTATATATACATACACTATCTAGCATGGAAGCATTATCATAGATCTTCCACCCTGGGTAGTAAAGTACTCTTATACATTTTCGTAAAGGTACTATAAAAAAACCTAAAAATATATTGTGGGCGTTTTTTCGCTCTCTGACCGTGTTTGTATGAAAATCTAGTTACTAATATAGTATATTGTCAACTTTTTTTTTATTCATTTACTCATACCATCTGCAATGCATACAGATGGTTATGTGGGACTCACCGGCAAAGCCCGTACTACCCGAACCTCCCCCGTCTTAACGGGGCGTCGCAGGATCGCTTACGCACTCAAAGACGAGTCTGCGTACCTATAATTGTTGTATGCATTATTTTTCGAATAATTAGGTGTATTTGTTTTTTTAGTGTTGACTTATTCTTCTCCCTGCCCATTTCCCAATCACTTGGAGTCGGTTTAGTACACTAGACAGTAGGTACAGTAGACTAATTAGGTATTTATAGGTAGTCAAAAATTCGAATAATTTTTTTTCTATACTTATCTATAATCAGTAAGAATTATTTATAATCATTAAAGTTAAAGGTAGATTTTTTGTAATCGAGTTTTCTTTAGGTACAGGTACGTTATAAAATTGGTTGTTGTAAATAGGTTTTTCTTTTTTTGTAATCACATAACATACTTTTGTTTTACTGAATTTTATCGGAGGATTTTTTTATTAGTTATTTGTTTTGTTTTATGTACCTAAGTACTACAGAATTATTCGCATCTAGGGACGCACCCGAGCGAGTCAAATCGCTAGTAATAATTATAATGTAAAAATGTTTCAAATAAAACTATCTTTTCGGATATTTTCCCGAATTTATTTTTATTTTTAGTTCCCGAGTGAATGTAAAAGTGCTTTAATATTTTTTTGCTTTGGGGGTAGTAAGAAAAAAAACTAAAAAAGTAATATTAACAAAAACAATTTTATTTAATAAAGCATTTAACTCTTGCGCTTTTGTATCTGCAAACACGTTCAGACGTACCTATGCTATAACTTTGAAAAATAAAAATTAAACGATTATTATAATAGATATATGACTGAACCTGAATAAACTTGAGTTAAGTGAACAATTATATAATTTGTAAATATCTCCCTCTATCAATACAGATAAAATGAGCGTTTTATTTGAAAAGATTTGGTTTTGACAATGGAAGCATGTAGGTATTTACTTTGGTCTTAACTTCGATATAGCTGTGGGCGACAATTTCTATTTATATGTTCTTTGTGCAAGACTAATGTATATTGTACTAGTTGCTGCCTATGGCTTTGTACGTTTTTGTAATATTTTATTTACTTTAGAATTAATTAACTTATTGCCATTTACGTTTAACAAACATTTTAGGACAGACAGAAATGCGATGTAACTAGAATTTAGTAATATAATTGTGTGTATGTATTCAGCCCTTTTTAACGTCCCACTGCTGGGCACGGGCCTCCGTTCAGTACAAGGGGGATAAGGCCATAGTCCACCACGCTGGCCAAGTGCGGGTTGGCAGAATTCACGCCTTTCAAAATCTTGCTAGGTTCTCTCAGACATGCAGGTTTCCTCACGATGTTTTCCTTCACCGTAATACAAGTGGTAATAATGTTGGAACTGATTCGCACATGAAAATATCAGAGGGGCGAGATCCGGGATTTAAATCCACTTCACTCGATTTCTCAAGCAAGCACGTTGCCACTAGGCAACCATTACCTTAGTTTCTATATAAGAATTTTCATAAAAATATATTATCCGGTCCCGGGAGAAACATTTTCTATCTCTAGAATAATAAGTACCTACTTTAAATAATTATTTGATGCTTTACTTTGCTTTTTATTAAATGCTTTTGGTATCAAAATTGATATACATACTTAGTACTTTACTAATCTTTGGAACAAAAAGTATGATGAATAATGACCTGACTAAATATTATTCATACTTATTTATGTAAAAATCAATGCAATAGATTTCACAAAATTCGACAATTTTCCTATAACTATTTTCTCCTTTCATAGCAAACAGGGAGGCCCAACTAAGCGATCAGCGACTGTTAACGTGGACCGTGGAAACAACCCGTTGAGTTTTAGTGGGCAGTAGTACAGTACTGGTTATTCTAGCCGGTGAGTCTCCACAAAACCACCTGTAGATATACAGGTGATAGCGTTTTGCAGCTTTAAAAATAATTGTTGACATGCATAGACAAAATATAGATTTTTGACTTATCCAGATCAGCTTTAATAAAAAACCTCTCGCTTCTGTTCGTGAGTTTTAAATATTCACTCTTGAGTAATTTTTGTTTTTAACTAAAAAAGTATATATTTTGGTAGGTGTTTAATTTTAAAATATACATAATCATTCCTTTATTAAAAAAATGCTAACCTAACCACTTCTGGCTTGAATTTAAAACGAATTTTATTATTGTTAATAAATAATGTTAAAAAAACTTTGTCGACATATTTGCTACAAATTATAGTACACTAGCGAGTCACTCTCGCTTCGCTTCAAGTGCGTCCCTAGACAAAAACAAATCTATCCCACGACTCGTACTTTTTTCCAGTATAAAAAGTAACCTATGTGCTATTCCAGACTATAATCTATCTCTGTGCCAAATTTCATCCAAATCTGTTCAGCCGTTCTGGCGTGAAAGAGTAACAAACATTCATCCATCCTCACAAATTTTCACATTAAATATAATATTAGTAGGATATTGAAACAAAATTAAATCCACTTTCTTTTTTATTTAAAGTCTTTGGAATGATAAAACAACACAAACTATGTAATAAAAATTAAATTATTTATTTTTTATTTAAATGGCAACTCTGTTACACAATATTTGCCAAAACAAAATCCAAGTTGGTAGAATTATTGTCGCTGCCACATTAAAAAGCCAGTTCCCGTAAATCTGCAAAGAAATTGTAAATCAATTCATAAAATAACCAATTTTCTAATTTACTACTGTTATCTATATAAATAAAAATGAATGTTGGTAAGCGCATAACTCATAAATTTTTCGTATGTTCCTTTAGGTCCACGGAAGGTTTTAATAAACAGAAAAAATGAAAATTTAACGAAAAAAAATTTTAATTTATATATCTATTTAAAACGTATCTAGCGACGAACCCGAGCGAAGCGAGGGTGAGCCGCTGGTTTTAAATAAAACTATCTTTTCGAATTTATTTTGATGTTCCCGACGTTTCGAATGCTTTACAGCAATCATAGTCACGGGAGAGACCTGTCTCTTTAAAAATCAAAATAAATCCGCGAAAAAATCCGAAAAGATAGTTTTATTTAAAATGAAAAATATTCACGTAAATCTTAGAAAGTATTATAAAAAAAATATATTCTTATACACAAAACTGACCAACAAAAACGAAATCTAAAGAAGATACGAAACAAATTAGGGGTCTACATTTTTGTTGAGGTCTGCACCAGTATTTAAAAAAGTACCTACTAGATACACAATCCTATGCAAAAGTTCTCTTAAAACTGTCACCAATTGTGTTTAGATAATTATTCTAGTTGAAATAAATATACAACAATGTAAATTGAACCTTAAATGCTTAAAGGCTTAAAGTTGTTTTCACCAAAACTAAAAAATCAAAACGCGCTCAAATGTTCAAAGAAGCGCTCATTCAGTGAGGACATTTTTTAACGCTGATTGTGTATCTAGTACTTTTTTGATCGATGTCAAATACATTCTATTTTGATTAAGTTTTAAACAATGACAAATATTCTCGTAAATCTAAAAAACCAAACATACCATAGAGTCAACAATAGAGAACATAATAGCTTGCATCGCCGCATCTCTCCCTCTACTGGCCATAGACAAAAATGCCTCCTCCGGGAATAGAACCCGCGAATAGACTGTCAGACCCAATACAACTAGTAGCAGTGGGTGCAGTAAGAGACATGCGACTCTTTTAATGAAAAGAGATATTTTCCTGGAAGAGAAATTATATCATATTAATTTTGATCTTAGACTTAAAAAAAAAAGTAAATTTTATTTAAAAAAATTGGCGCAAATGTCGCAATTAAATTAAAACAAATCAATAATTAAATAAGTCATATTAGGCATATTACAGTCATAAATTATAAATATATCTGTATCTGTATCGATAATGATGACTTTTTCAATAAGATTTTCCAAATAATATTTAATGTACAGATTCGACTCAGTTAGAATGTTATTATATGTATAAATAAATTAACCAAAACTGATCCTAGCATTCTATGAAATATTAACTATGAATATACAAGGATTTGAGAAAAATCACAATGAATAGGTTCAATTAAAAATATCAAATATTCGCATAAAAGAAAAAAAAAGAAAAATTACCTTTTCTTATTAAGATCCTTGCCAACAACCCCCACTAATAACGCCAAGGGGGTGTAAGCGACCCCCAAACACAAGCCCAATGGGAAATTATGCATACCAATGGCCAAACATGCCGTGGAAAGTTCTATCAATAATAGTATATTCACTATAGATAGTTCTTCAAAAGTCAAAGGTATGGAACGAAAGTTTAGGATATATGGCGTTATCAAAGTTAGCAAAACACATATAATTATGAGGCCGTAGAATACTGATTGTTCTGAGGGTGCGTCGAAGTAGGTTGCACCTGGAATGGATTTTTTTTTTAAAAAGGTATTTTTACTTCAAAATTTGTTTAAATATATTTCTACTTGTACGGGTAGAACTTTTAATTAGAATTTTAGTTTATTTTTTCATTTGAAACTAGAAAATTAAATATTTTTTAGCAGGGAACCCTAATACTTTTTCTAAAACAAAAGTACTCCTTATGAAATCTCTATCCGCCAGTGAAAGTCCCGTCAAACTCGGTCCAGCAGTTTTGGAGATTACCCGGAATAAACAGACAGACAAAAAATTTAAAAATCGTTATTTTTCTTATATTTTTTTTACCCAATATACTTTCATACGCATTTAATATAAGGCTGTTAAGTTTACGTTAGAAATTACATCAATTTTATTTATTTGTATAGATTTAAATGGAAATCCTAAATTAAAAGGCAAAAAAAATCAAGAAAATCAGAAGAACATACACAGAAACACACACACACTAACACACAAAAATTAAATTAAGTACCTCCTTGTTTTTGAAGTCGATTAAATCTCAAAGTTGAATTGAGACTTATTATTAAAAATGTAAGGTTTAAATTTAAAAATAAACTTACCAATATGACTAAAAATCAATGGCGAATTCATTACACCGTACCCCAACAAATGTACTATCAAATAATTCGCACCAATATTCACTACACTTAAATTGAGTTCTGTATCTTTTTTAAACGTATCTTTCTTTTCCTTCATATTTTTCTTTTCTTTAATATCTTTCACATCATCTTTATCACTTTCTTTTTTTTCATTGTTATCTTTTGTTTTATCTTTTTCATCTTCTTTATCTTTATCTGTTTGTTCGTCGATATCTTTTTGTAATGTGACCCAGAGGGAGAGAGCTCGGACTAACATTGCACCGCATAGAAGACACAACGATGGCATATACTGACCTAAAATTAAATAAACATATATTTTTCAATTTAAAAATGTGATTTATTGCGAGTAGGTCTCAGAACTGGTTTAAAAAGAAGTTTTTAATTTGGTAATGTAATAAATATGTTGGGAATTAACACACTGCTGTGTGTTAATGTCCCAACATCTATCTCTATCATCATATCTAGGTCCATAGTAAACTACGAGGCTTGTGTTATGGGTACCAGATAGTTGACACACTACACATATATAACTTTAAATACATACATATTATAAATATAAACGCCCATGACTGGGAGTACAAATCTTCGTCATCACACAAATGAATGGCCCCAGCGGGACTCGAACCCGCGACCGCCGGCACAGAAAGTAGGGCTATACAAACTGTGCCAAACGTGTCGTTGTTTGTTCATTAACCGGTTAATAAAACCGACATAATAATGGTTAACATTTAGTAAACCGAAATATAATATTAGACTTAGGTTTCGATACCGAAATAAACTGGTTAATTCATTCATATGTAAGAAACGTACACGTATCCTTGTACAAAGCAAGTCACCATTAGCTTCGCCAAATGTATACACAAAATAACTCATTTCAACCGGTTAATTTCAATCATGGAACCGAAATTCGTCAAAAACGGTTTTCCTGGTTTTATCTAGGAAAAACATTGTTTATGAACACAGTTAAAATAAGCTGCGTCTATCATGATTTTTATCTATGATGATGATGATGATGAATTGAGTCGGAAAAACGATTTCTTTTAATTTCACAATTTTGCGTTTTGTAAAAAAGCTAATTTTACTATCCCACTAGGTAAAAATTAACTTATAAGTGTATTCAGAATTAAACACTTCAAGTATCGATATCTCGAAAACTATGCGTAATAAAATCCGTTCAGTATTTTCTAAGATTAGATCGAACAAATACAAACTAAGTCAGTAGTCAAAAAAAATCGGTTAAGTGCGAGTTGAATTCGCACAAGAATGGTTCCGTAACATCGCACATGTACTTTTTATTAATATGACTTTTACTCTATGTATGTAGTATATTAACTTCGATGATCGATTACGAAGGTAAAAAAAATGTTTCTTGTATTTTTAATTATTTTTATTATTTGTTGTTATAGCGGCAATAGAAATACATACTCTGTGAAAATTTCAACTCTATAACTATTACGGTTCATGAGATACAACCCTCTGACAAACGGACGGACAATGGAGGCATAGTAATAGGGTTCCGTTGGCATCCGGAACCCTAAAAATTATCAATAAACTTACCTATAGAAATAAACCTATTAGTAGCCGCTAGCATATAAAAGAAGTAACTCTGATGGAATCGTTCTAGAAGATTGTTCAAAGAACGTAGAATACTTTCCAATGTGATACCAAGGCGGTAGAAGTTGGCAGGAGATAGAGAATGAACCCGAGGGGGGATTCCCGCGGGATCATCTGCGTCACGACCTTCGAGGGTAACAGATTCGATTCCGAAACGGTGGAACAAACCATGATTGCCGTTTGGCACCTGGAAATAATAAATAAAATAGTTTGTAATCGCTGTAAAATTTTCATTGAATATTGTATTTTAGTGTGATTTTATTAAGGAAATTTAGAAATTGAATTGAGTTCGCTGCGAGAGGCGCCAGTGTAGAGTGAGTTCTCTAGAAATGTCACATACACACACTATTAATTATATGTTGGGAGATTAACACAAAGCACCATCTAGTTCCATGGTAAGCTATGAGGCTTGTGTTATGGATACCAGATCGTTGATACACTACACATATATAATTTTAAATAGATACATATTATAAATATACCCATGACTGGAGTACAAACATTCATGCTCATCACACAAATGTATGCCCCCTGCGGGATTCGAACCCGTGACCGTTGGCACAGCAAGTAGGGTCACTACAAACTGAGCCGAACGTGTCGTCAAATACTTCAAACATAACATGTATTTTATTAAAGCAGGTTAAAAATTATAAAAAAAATATCTCACCCCAGCAAGTTGCGTGGATACCATTCCAAGCATAGTATATATGCTGTTGACCCATTCATCCATTTTGTTACGGGTTCGAACCCAGGAATAGCTGTGAAATTCATGCTAATATAATAAATGTGAAAGTGTGTTTGTTTGTTTGTCCTTCTTTCACGTCAAAACAGCGACGGATTGAACTGATTGTGTGTAGAGATAGTTGGAGGGCTGGAGTTATAAAACAACCCACAACAACCCATCATACCTATGTCCAATCTATACTATAATAATATTATAAAGAAGCAGTTTGTTTGTTTGTTTGTTTGTTTGAACGCGCTAATCTCAGGTACTCCTAATTCGATTTGAAAAATTCATTTTGCATTAATTTATTGAGCCCGTTTATTGAGGAAAGCTATAGGCTATATATCATATACTATATAGTCTATGTATTCCATACTAACCATTAAAACGTACCAAGGGACGAACCCGAGTGAAGGGGGGGTAAGTCGCTAGTTGTATTATAAATAACAAAAACTAATAAAATTCTGCAAAAACATCGTGTTTAGTCTCATGGCCAATGAATAGTTTATTGTGTTGGGGATTTCTTTGATCTTAATTTAAGAGTTACATAATATTTCTAGAACATACCTGTTTTTATATGAATGATGTATACCAGACTTGACGCACAATTTATGCACTAAATTAACTAAATCCAAATTCGGCAATTGTCCATTTAGACCTTCTATTTTTACTTCAATATATTCTGTAATACAATAGGAATTATTAGTAGAGGCGAGAGACAAGTTAAATGTAAAAATTAAATAAAAAATAACTTACTAAACTTTGGTGTATGGAATTCCAAATTGATAGCTGCCTGTATAGACCCGGACCTTCCTTTCAATGTACCAGGATCTAAGCATTTATTGTGATCGTTCAGCCATTGGAAACCCTTAGAGAATGTTCCAATATCTGCGAATGAGCTACTGGGGTGCCAGAAGTTTCCGAGAGATGTGTAGAAGGTAGGTGACGATCGATGAAGACCGTGGTAAGCTTCTAACCACGCTTGCATTCCTAGCTGTTCATGTTCAGTTATTAAAAATATTATATCCTTGGCCCAATATTTTTGTGCTGTAAAAAAATACAAAAATTTTTTTTAACCGTTGATAGTTTCAAATATATATATATATATATGGCACAGGTAAATAATGTATTATGTAGGTAATATAAAATCATACACAAATTTTATAAATGCATGCATGCAATATATATAATATAGCTTAATCAGTGTGACTCAAACAATCTATGAATCATTAAAATCAGTTAAGCCATTTAGTAATTACGAGGGAACATATGGTGGGACATACATACAGGTCAAACACATAACCCCTCCTCCTTTAGGGTTTGCCATAGAAAGGTATAAACTAAATATGACTATGCAGACAGTAGATATGTCACTCTTCCAGGCTCTACTAAGCCTCTAAGGGCTGAATACATTATGGTAAAATCCAGAATTAAATTCTGGAAGTCCGAATTACTTCAAAAACTTAATTGACAGGTACCTAGTCAAACTCTAAATAAATTATTATTTACTTACGTCTTGCAAACTGTGCAAATGCAAGCATTAGTGCTATCCCTGCAGCTGTTCCCTTCTGATGGTTAGATAAAGATCTATATGGAGCAGTTACGACTATTGCCTCCAGGGAAGAAGTGCGAGGTGCTCTGAGAATACCATAGACATTTGTGCCCTTAAACACCTGGAATATGACAAAGTTTTATTAATATATCTGTTCTTCTTCTTCAGAAAAAAGGAATAGATCTGATATCATATCTAAAGTAGAATTGTAATAGCTATTTTTACAGCATATTACTATATGATATGTTTAACCACTGATAATTCTTAGAATTCACCCCCTACACTCTTTAGTTGTAAGGAGTTTCTATGAAAAACATTACAAAGATTTCATGCTCTTTAACTGTTTCAAAATGAGAAATGATCATTTCATTTCTCATTTTGAAACAGTTAAAGAGAATTTATATTTTTCATGCTTAATATATTTCATTAGATTATTTCTTATTCCTCTTACATTTTTTGATACTAATGACAATGTATTTTCTTTATTTCTTTCTATATGTATTTCTAAATTTAAATAGTACTTATTCCTAAAATAGAGGCTAACCTACTTCGAATTTTTAATAATCACCACACTGAGGATGTGCTGCTAAAGTTTTATATTTCAATCTGTTTCTAACTTAAGCCACCGATTTTAAATTGTAAAGACATATAATATTGATTTTGATTTTATATTATAAAGACTACAATATAAAATCTTATTAAAATGAATGCTAGTTTATTGTTTATAAAATTTTAGAAGGTATTGACATTACCTGCCCCTGCCCAAGGGGATAATTTAATGTGAAGTTATGTGTGTATACTTCTAAATGCAGTTGTGACATCTTTCCAACTAGCCAGGGTATCGGTATTTCATCTGACTCATCATATTTCTCCTAAAAAGAGTTTATAAATTAAAGCAAAATAAATGGTTTAAAAACTCTTTCTTAGATGATTGAAGGTTGTTTATAAACATTACTGAAAATGTGCTGAGGATTTATTTTAAATGTATTTAATTAAGGTTTTACATTTGTTACATCTATTATATGAATAAAAATAAAATTATAGCTTATAATATTGTTTGTAAACACATTTTACCTCAAGTTCTTGCAAAAATTCATTGAAGAATTGATTTGCCGAATGTTCACCATTAAACTCATTTGTAACTAATCCCGGTAGTAAAGCATTTTCAGAGAAATATGTCTCATTATTGAATTCTTTATTGGCTAACATGAAAAACCAAGCTATAGCAGCAATATAGCAAACAAAACACAGAGGAGAGTGAACCTTCCTAAGAATCCGAGCCCATTTCAAAGACCCGTATTCAGGGTCTGATAGGAGCCCCATGCTTTAATATAAAGTATTTCTTGTTAAAATATATTCAATTCATAATCATATATTATTAATTCTATACGTTTTAATAATAGAAGCCGTTCCTGTTTTTTATCTTGTCGCAAGTCGCAACTCGCAAGTCAAAATTGACTTAGAAAGTGTCAAACTCAGTGAGTTTGACACTTTTAGACGATGTTCGTTAATCGCTATTTCAGTCGGCAATTTTTAATATTATTAAATTATTTAATATTAGTATTATGATTTTAACGCATTTTTATTTACGGTAAATATTTTGAGAAAATGAAGAGAATTATATACAGGTCGCCCTAAAATTCAAAGTTATCCTACTTAAATGTACCTTTTACAGTAAATCTAAATTATTGACAATTATTATTTATATTTTTTAATGATGCAATACTGCTGTTTAGAAAATTGCATGAATTTACTATTTGCAAATTGCATTTTGCAATTTATATTTTTTTGCAGCCGGCGTTAGAAATCGACTGATAATTATCATAATATTATCGCTAAAATCCTTCCTTTATCATTCATTTTGTATTTTTTGGACAGTAACGATATGTCGGAGTCAGATGTTATTGACAAAAATAGTGAAAATACATCAAACAAGTTTGTCGAAAATGGAACTAACAAGTTAATTGTAAAATGTAAATTCTGTGGCTCGAAGATTTTAGACAAAAAATTTGGTATTTACATTGAACAAGAGGTAAAGTATATTGTATTAAAATATTAGTAGGTACATAATATTACTAAATATACTTTCATACATATGATACTAAATTTAATCGAGGTTATAAAGAAATCAAAAGGCAAATTTGAACCTGAATATTTTTTATTTACTTCTTCAATAAAAATGTAAATTTATTAATTTAACAATTTTCAGAAGGACTTACCTTTAATGCTGCAAGATAATCGAAAAGAAGTTGAAGTCCAAAACGAGAAAGTTAATGAATTCTATCATGTAGAAAACATGTATACATTTGAAAACATAGGTTTTACACACACAGTGGATAATTATAAATATTTAAGTTGTGCAGATTGCGATGCTGGACCTATAGGATATTATGATATGAATACTAAACATAGCTTTGTAGCATTATCAAGGGTCGAACATGCTTCATAAACAATACAATTAAAATGGCTTTTGCATCTGGATCTTTCATATATTAAGAAAAATTGGGTATATTATGTTGTGGCAAGTAGAATACTACTTTCCATTAGAAAATTAAAATTGAAAATTAAGAAACAATCTGAAATATTTATATTAAATTTAATTAATAATGAATTTATTGCTCATATTATCATTCCAAAATATTAAAAAAGAGATAGAAAAAAACTTTATGGTATAATATAGTATGTTCAAATGAAACATTGACTTTTTTATTATTTCTGTACATATTAAAAGTTCCCGAGTCAGCTACTCTTGGCATGTTGGACTAGTCTTTACGAGGTAACAGTGAATCAAGATCAAGAAAAGCTTGCAATTACTTACTTTTGTATGGAAATTTATAATAAAATTTTATTTAATTACATTTATCTGTTTTATTTCACAAAATATAAATAGTTTTACTTTCATACAACAATTATAATAAGCTTGAAATATTGGTATTTTAAAACCAAACAGTAACAAAGAATTTGTTTTATTTTAATATTAAAATTACAGTTCTTATACAAATGAATCAATCTATGCAGATAAATAAAATTGAAGTGTCTGTTTGTAAATCAAAAGAACAGCTTAATAAATGCAAGTGAAATTGTATATGGTACCTACTAAAGAAAAAAATAATTATAATTTTTTTTATGTCTGTTTTTTCTGGCGAATCACTGGCATGGCTAATGTTATAAGGAGTAATTTGGTTTGGGCTACTCTTATTTTTTTTAAAGAATTAAGGTTTTGCTCAAATAAAAAAACTTTAAAATGTGTCATAATATATTATAATTTCAACATTTCACATATCGTTTCCGTGGTGTAGCGGTTATCACATCTGCCTAACACGCAGAAGGCCCCCGGTTCGATCCCGGGTGGAAACATATCTTTTTTAATATAAATATGTTTTTATTATTATTATTATTTGTAATATAACTAGCGAATCACCCTGGCTTCGTTTGAATCTGAAGTTACATTTATATCAAATCTGAAGATGCGAAGGAAAGTGATTCTTATAATACTTTCTCTTTCCCATAATTTTTGCTTCCTGACGTTTTGAATGCTAGAATTAAACATGCAATGAGAGGTCTCTTCCGGAGTCCTGTTACTGTTAAGACCGTATGGCTTTAGTCTGAGAAATGTGCATAACTCACAAAAGTTTCATCATAATCTTAAAAATATTATCTATAGCAGCGTAAGATATATCTGTTAACAATTAATATTATTTTATATACACAGGTATCGCAATTATAAATAAAAATAATATCTATATAAACTCGCTCTTTCATTTGCATACAATACATATGATTTATTTTGTTTAAAATGATAATAGTCATAAGTATGTATGTCAAAATCATAACATTCTAATAATAATGTAGCCTTTAAAGTTTAAGTGTTTAATAAATTATAATATCTATTGCAATGATATACTTAGATATTCTTACATTGAAGCTTGAAGGTCTCGTCTACTTCAAGATTTCGACGTTGTACTATAAAATTTAAAATCTTTATAACCGATTACTTTTTTATTAAACATCTCAAAATAGGTATTGTTTTGTATAAAAATGTTGCCAGAATTTTTTACTGCATTTTTGAAATTTCTGCTTTTATTTTTGTCAAGGCGTTAGTGTAATTAGAAGCATTACTGGGGTATTAGGTATAGTATTATGTGATCTGTGGCATTACAAAGAAAATGTCTTGTGAGGGGCATACTGCCAATTACCTACATTTATATAACTACACTAGCGACTCACCCTCGCTCCGCCCGGGTTTGTCCCTACTCCCTAGATACGGTTTAACGTTTAATATAGATTTATCAGATATGAGATATTTTCCCGCATTATAAAGTATCCTATGTGTTGATCCGATAACCAGCTACCATCGTATCAAATTTCATCAAAATTTGTCAAGTGATTTTCTCGTGATGCGGTTACAGATTAACTATAGATTCGGCCTCTGTATCGATAATAATGTGTATTCAGTATTTCAATAAGATTGTCCGAAATATATTTACGGTAAAATATTTTTTCGGTTTTCTTCGTGGATTTATTTTGATTTCTAGTTCCCGACGTTTCGAATGTAGGTATTTACAGCTAAAACCAAAATAAATCCGGGAAAAATCCGCAAGTAACATGGCAGCGACCAGCGTAAGCGTAAGTTGGTAGTTAATATTTTTTTAAATATGTGTTCTACAGAATATACTTTTAATAAATAAAAACCATTTTAAAACTATTTCTTATATTTTTTTTAATGATTCTAGAGAAAATAAATAAATATAAGGGAGAGCAAAATCGCCGGCAGTTAGATAGAGGCAGTTCGATAATGATACTAATGGTTAACTGTGATTTAAAATAAACATAATATAATGATAATAAAATGTTTAACAAAATAGATTCAAATTCGAGGAGAGTCACGGTTAAACATGTTTCAAAGATCAAATAATGAACACTGACCTGCAGTTATTTCTAAACAAGAACACACGAATATCACGGCCGTAGAAAGTTTTCAATTCGTAATGTATTACGTACACCGTCATCGGCATTCGGATATTCCGAACTTACGAGCTTTCATATTACTTATGTACCTACTTCAAATAATTGTTTTAACTAAAATATTCTGAAATCGGACTAATATTAAAAATGCGATTGTATGTGTGCGTAGGTATTATATGTTTGTTACAAACGCAAAGCCTTTACGCTGAAACGATTTTTTTTATTTAGGATTGATTTTTTTATTTGCTTCCCAATACAAACGTTTATCCCTATTTTCACCCCCTTAAGGTATGATTTACAGGATAAAGAGTATGCTATGTCTCCCCGGGGTCTGGAACTATCTTTTTGCCAAATTTCATCTGAATCGGTTCAGTAGATCTAAAAAGTACCCCCTACAACCTCACAAAGTCACAAACTTACCTCTTTATAATATTAGTATAGATTTGAATGATATTTAGTAGGTACTCAGATATACTATGATCTGGAGTAACACTGTTAGGCACCTAGGGCACTCAAACTTAGATCACATGTTAATTTTAAAATTAAACTATTTTTTTAATAAGTATCACTAATTATTATAAATTTAAAATTGTAACTCTATAAGTAATTGCAGGGTGTATCTGCACTAAAACTTGTAAGTATTTTCTTACATAAGCACGTCTCTAAAACTGTTATTAGTTTTCAGTCTAGTTATCTCAATGCTTACAATTATGTCAGTGCAGAAGCGGTCGTGACTTCGAGCGCTGTTATTTGCATATTTTGTTGAAAAATTGATGCTTCATTTCAGGGCTCTTCGATTGTTTAATAAAAGGTTTTAACTTCCTGTGTTGTAGGAGATTTTGTTTCACATTTTGTTTCTATTTGTTTATTAAATTACAGTTATGATTTTATTGTGCTTTTAATCATTGAATGTGGAAATGCTATGTAAGTACACTAGTAATTGACATACATATAAGTTATATTATTATTGTTGTTAATTAATATACAAATGCTGTGTATTATATATATTAATAAAATAAATAAAATAAATTACTATTTATTGTCTGTGGTTTTGCTTGGATGGTTAGCGAGATGGGGATGCCATCTATGTCTTTGTCAAAATCTGTTCAGCCTTTTATTTTATTTTTTTAATTTTTAATATTATTAATGCACGTGCTATTTTCTAGCAACAACAAAGTTACTATTTAAAGATCGACTTTTTTCTTTTTTTTTCCTTTATGCCAAAAGACGTGGCTTCTTGATTTTACAAGTTAAAAAGTAAAAATGTCAGTAAAAAAGTGAATAAAATTATATCTGTTTATAAATCATGACACTTTTTAGTTTAATTTTGTTAATTAGATAAGAAATGTTTTAAAAACCAGTAAAATGCAAATCGTTGTAGCTCTTCGCAGAAACATATATAATATCTTTCAAAATTCAGTTGAATACAATTAACCCAACATAATGATAGGTACCTATGTGCAAATTTTTTAAAATCATTTTCTGTAAAAAAAAAACTAAATGGCTCCGTATTTTTGCAATAATAATCATAACGGTAAATGTTTCGTAATTAAAATGAAACAAGCACTTGTTGATTCTATGTTAGAAGTAGATTATTTCAAAAATAACAAAGTTTTAATTATTGTCAATATCTAATAACAATTTATTTGTAAGATTTGTGTTCAATTTTGGAATTTTTACGCCTTTTAATTCATTTTTGACAGCAAAGAAAGTAAGGGAACTCTGCGGTCAGAACTTACTATTTCAAATACGGTATCTAATAAATACTTAATAACTATACTTCTTCTAATAATAATGTTCTCCTGACCGATTCCGGCTACGGCGGCCAATCTCATTGAGACTAGCCAACTGTGCAGGAGATATTATAGTGCACAAGTGTACGCGCAGACACAAGTGCACTCTGTATTCCGGTCACTCTCATACTCCGGTGGGACGACTGCTCGACACGACCAGTGAGAGTTAAGGCGCAGGACCGACAGCTTTACATGCTCTCCGAGGCACGGGGGTGAAACACCGCCAACTTCCCAACTCGGGCTGTTACTGAGGCTTACTATGCAGAAAGACTCATTAACTAAGCTTGGCCCGACCCGGGACTCGAACCCAGGACCTCCAGGCGTGCTGCCGTACATGCTAGCCACTACACCACCGAGGAGAGGTACTTCTTCTACCTATTAGTTGAATACTGTCTAAGCAAAAATAACATTTATCTGATTGTTGAGTAAATGCTGAACAAAATAACACACTTTCGTATTAATAACATTAGTAAGGAGGTAAGGTTTTAATACTATTATTAAATTATTTATAATTTATTACGTAAATACTGATTATATTGGTACATGGATAATCTATATTCCCTAGTTACGTGTTCATGTTTACTATAGATTTCTTAGAGATGAGATGTTTTCAGTAAAAAGTATCTTATATGTTGAACCTAATAATCAGATAACATCATACCAAATTTCATCGAAATCTGTCCAGTAG